GTGTGTGGCGAAATGAATTAGGCCTACTATTTCCATCATAATATCTTCATACGGTAATCTTACAGTGCGCGAAAAAGACAGGAAAGCAATCTAGAGCTCGATATCGTCGTAGATCTGTTACATATTAGCTTGTGGTCTTAAGGTTTCAAGTGAAGGGGGTTACTTACGTCAATCGAGAGCTCGGGCATGTTCATGTTAAGCTCGCTGTGCCACTTGGTGAACTCGAGGCGGTTGTCCACGAGCGCCTTGCAGATATCCGCACCGAGCAGCGTAGTGAAGGTGAAAAGCTCAGGAGCTCGCTGCTCAAGCTTGCGCGCAGACTCGTAGAACTTCTGGTACGCATCGAGGGCGTAAGGCAGCTTCTCGTTCAGAATGTCACCAAGGCGGTCCTTCTCCGCCGAGGAAGTAGCCCAGCGCCAGCGAGGCAGGATTTCTCCGACGTCTGCGTTGACCTTGACGAGGCGCTTGTACATCTTCGCGAGGGTAAGAATTGGGCGCCACTTGTTGGCGATGTCCTCGAGGGTCTTTAGCGTAGCGAGGCAGTTGAAGCGAAGAAGGGTACGGCATTCGGTCTTGAGACCCTCAGCAACCTCGTGGAAAGATTCAGGAAGGCTATCCGTGATCATGCGGTCCCACGCAGTGCTCTTGTTGGACGCCTTGTGGTACGCGAGCCTAATCTTGACGAGTCTGCTCGCGAACTGGCAGCCTTCTTCCTGGTAAAGTCGCAGTTCCGCAAGCTCGGCGACTTGCAAGTTGAGGTTGATCGAGTTTGCAGCGAAGATGCGTATTACCTCACCCAGGCTACCAGAAAGCTGGAGCTCAAGTGACTCCGCCTCCTGTGTGTCCATGTCTTTGAGGAAGCTCTTGAGAAGTAGCTTGGGCGTGTTCTCCAGTGACAGTGGTAGGAGTGGAGCCTGCTTCTGTAAAGGCAAGTCGTCGAACACGGGTATCGCAACACGCTTCCGACCGCGTCGGAAAATGTCCTCATCTTGCGATGCGTTCACACCAGGGGCTTTAATGCCCTGGGGAAGGATCGTGTTGATGATGTCGGAAGATGGCTCTGGCGCCAACACAACAGATGGGTTCGCACCAGGGACTTTAATGCCCTGGGGAAGGATCATGTTGTTGGAGACGTCGACGCCAGAGGAGGGCTTGTCGGAAGGTGGCTCTAGCGCCGACTCAACAGATAGCTTCACACCAGGGGCTTTAATGCCCTGGGGAAGGATCTTGTTGTTGATAATGTCGACGCCGAATACCAAGGCATCTTTGAAGTTCTGCTTTGTGAGAGAAGTTGGGGGCGCGTGATCTTCGACTGAAGTGGGTTCTTGTGGCTGTTTCAGAATCTCTTCGACATCAACCGCTTCAGTCATGACTGTAGCCTCCTTCTCCTCGTGCTCTGTAGCAATCTTGGAGGTCTGCGCCGGCTCTTGTACGGCAGAATTTGTCTCGGATTGCGCAAAGTTTGCCACGCACAGTTTGATTTCGCCCGCTTCTACCCTTAGCGCAGTGGCCTGAGCACTGAGATCTTTGGCCTTCTCATCTAGGCCATCGGCGGTGGCTTCGAATGATGAAATACGTGCAACCAAGACTTTGTACTCTTCACTGCGACGACTCGAGGGGGTGGAAATTGGGGATGATCGGTCATCCTGACTATCTGCAGTGATTGACACCTCCTCTGAAGGAGGGTTTGGAGGTTCACTCGGCGCATCTCCCGCAACGTCTGGAAGTGGCTCGTTAACCTCAGCTGCAGCATCATCAGGAGCGATCTCGGCGTACTCGTTAGCAGACTGATCGTGGGCGACAGTCTCACCGCCGTCCCCAAGCCTGGCGTCTACGTCCTCGACCTCAGCGTTAGACGCAGAAGTGGACGAGGCCACCAGGGCTTCTTCGTTGCGCTGCACAGGCTCCTCATCCGCAAATTCTGGCGACGATGGCGAGGTCTCGCCGTCCTCAATGGCCTCTACCGGCTCCGAAGGCGCGGCACCAAAGAATTGAACATCTCCAGCACCCCACGCAGAAGCATCGAAGAGCGTTGACTTGAACTTTGAGGCCATCTGCGCACCGCGTCCGACAGGCTTGTAGCTGAACTCCGCCGAGATCTTCGGCTTCTCAGCCTCAGCCAAAGGCTCTTCAACCGGAGCAACCGACACGACTTCCGAGGCCTCGTCAGATACTGCGGCGGGTAAGTCTGCAGTTGGAGATTCCGCAGAGCCGGCAGACACTTGAGGCTGCTGAACCTCGGTGGTCGTGAGGGCTTCTTCTGGCACCTCATCAGAGGCTTGAAGCACAGCAGGCGTCTTAATCAAATCGCCCGTGTCTGCGAATTCGATATTGATCTTTGGCTGCTCTGCGGTCTTCGGACTCTCAAGCATACCGAAACTTATTCCTGTGGTATTGAAGAGAGGAGGTGCTGCAGGCTTAGCATCCTTCTCCACCAGAGGGAAGAAACTGAAAGGAGGCTTCGTCTCCTTCTGCACCGAAGGAAAGATGCCGAAGGACGCCTTCTTCTCCTCCTTATTCAGTTGGAAGAGTGGTGCCTTCGTACCGTTTCCAGCATTCTCATTCAACTTAGGCTGCAAGGGCGTAGAGCGCCTCGGCATCGACATGGTCCATTGGAAAGGCGCGGCAGTTGGTTTATTCACATGAGCACCGCCGCCAATGGAACCGAAAAAAGCTGAATGCGGATTATCATTGGCTGCTGCAGCGAAGTCAGGCTGCTTAAAGGCGTCTTCTGGGTTCACCTGACCCGAGTATGACTGGGTGCGGTCACGAGGCATGCTGGGGATAGAAACAAGCCCACTGCCGAAGGATGGAAGTGGGGCATATCCGGTCTTGGGCTGAGCAGGCGGCTGTGTGGCAGCTTCTCCAGAGCTTGGCATGTCTGCAAGAGTCTCGAGCGATGCCATAATGTCTGGAACTGCCTGTGGCTGGGTCGTGAGCGAAAGGTTACCAATGCTTGCGGGTGGCTGGAGCAATGGCGAAGCAGCAGGAGGGTTCGGGATACCCGCGAGAATGGTACTCATGCTGCTCAGGGCTGCAGAATCCAGGGTAAAAGAAGGCATAGACAAGCTCGGGGCCTGGCCACTGTCGCTACCCTGGAGAGGCTGGCTCAAGATAGGAGTAAACGGTAGACCGGGCTGTGACTGCTGCGTTGGGGTTTGATCGATAGTGAGAGGAACAGTAGTCTGTCTGTTTCCAAGAGCTGCAGCGAATAGCCTCGATGTCGCAGTAGGTGGCATTTTCACATTTTGGTTAAAAGTTGTGGCAGCTTCCTGCAGAGACTCCTTGTAGCCAGCTGGCATGAATGGGTTGTCTATCGAAGGATCAAACACCTTTTTTTGTCCCAATGCCGGGAAAATAGCAGCGGTGGGATGTAAGTTGTCAATAGCCTTAGACTGCTGGACTTGAGCGTCTGGGGCGTCATCGGCCATTTCAACGTCCTTGGAGGTCACACTCTGGGCGAACTGGCCCGAAACCAGCGCTTGCTGCATTGGCTGCATACCCCTGGCTGACCTGTGGTACATGCGGGGCATTGGTCATGTCAATGTCTTCTGAAGACACATTCTGAATGGATGGAACCAGAGTCTGTATTGACTGCATAGGCTGGACCGAAGACTGCGTGGACTGCATGGGCGATATTGGCTGTGCAGCTTGGCTGGTGTGTGGCACATGCACTGTCGCATCAGCAGGAGTACTCTCAAACTCCATCTCGGTATTTTCGCCAGTGGTCCTGGCTTCTTGTGCGACGCCAGGCTGAGTCGAGGATGTCTGTGGCTGTGAGATAGTACTCTCGGTGCTATCACCGTATGAGATGCCCGGAAGGTGCAGTGGGGCTGGCGCGGGTTGAAGCTGAACTAGAGTGGGATCGACTGGTGTCGTACCGCTGGAATCATCACCGTTGGTTTGGCCAGCAGGCGCTGCATGCTCACCAGCCTTCTCGAGAGGTACTGATGGCGACCCCGAGCCTTGGGCGGCTTCCTGGTCTTGATGGTGGCCAGAACGAACGTCGATATGCTCTTCGGTGCCCTGCTCCTGAACTGTTGGCGAAGCGCTCGAGTCAATGTCTTGGAACAAGGGCCCATCCGCGTAGGTGTAGTCGACTGCATCAGGGTAAGCTGGCTGGTTTGGACGACGGTTGTCGTCGTTGTCGCCTGTGTAGATGTAGAAGCCGTCATCGTCAGACTCATCCTCGGCGTCATTGGAAGCTTCCGCGACATCATCGCTGTCCCAACCGCCGAGAGCAGCGAGCTCGTCGTCAAGATCAATACCGGACTGATTGCCCGAATCAGCCACGGATTGAATGTACCTGCCTTCGTATTCCACGCGAACACAGCCCTCAAAGGAGTCATGGCCTGTCGTGCCGTTGATCACATCACCTTCGTCGCTTTCCCAGTACGTTTCCCAGTCGAGCATGACTTGCTCCCAATCGGCGGCTTCCTTTGTATACTTGTCGGCATCCTCAGAGCCACCATGATTGTCCCACAGATTGTCTTCCATGGCAGCTGCGAGGTCCACGATGTGTACATTCTTCAATGGATCGTCGGCGCTGAGAAGTGCAACAAGGTCCTGGATTTGTCTCTGGAAAGCCTGACGGTACTGACGTCGCTCCTTGTCGACACGGGACAACTGTCGATTTGGGTTGTCGGCGTTGAGCGCGTCGTTCTTGAGTTTGTTCATCACTGCCAACGCGCTAAGGCGATCTCCCTCGGGGTCAGGCGTAAAGTTTGGCAGATACTCGCTCGTGTTGACAGCTGGCCTGCGTCGGGGTGCAGAACGCATCTGAATCTTCATTCGCCCTTCTTTCAAGTAGTAGAGCATGGCGTTGTAGAGCAATGTATCGACTACTGCAGGGACCACCCTGTTTTTCACGTGCAGTCTTGCGTCCTTCTCGTAATCGTCACCGCGTTGGAGCTCTTCATGAATCCGGCGCTTGTAGTCTGCGAAGTCATCGTCTTTGGCCGAAGATTTCCAGATACGTTCCTCCCAGTTTGTAGCTACAAACTCGGGGTCCATGTTCTGTATAGCATGATCCTCGGCATAGAGAGGAAGAAGGCCGTCGATCATCTCATTAATCATGGTATACTGCTCGTTGCGCATGACATCGACCGGGTCAACGTAGTCATCTTCATCTTCGTCGTCATCATAGACGTCCGGTGAAGCCTGCTGCGTGAATGGAGGCTGAGGTTGAGGCTGAAGTGAAGGACCGTTATCACCGGTGCGGTCTCTCGATGCTTCCGACGTCTGGGCTGTCGGAGGCTGCTGAGCATACGTGTCGTCAAACTCCTGTGAGTCAAATGGATTGCGATCATCCCTTCTCCTGCGGCTGCGAGCGACCCGGGGCACAAAGCCGTTCCGGTCTGGTGGTTCCGAGGACCTCATGTCGATGTCGGGTCAAGGTATGTATGTGTGAAAGGCTTGCAACTAGTGTGCGGTTATGGGTTGTCCGAAGACTGGGGAGGAGGTGTAAGTCCTGAAGACGTGCGCGTTAGTTGAGACACGCGATGAGGTGAACGGCAACCGCGTAGGCGAGATGAATACGCGAAAGAATGAAGGGGTAGGTCAGGAGATTTACTCACCTTTCTTGACTTGCGCAGGGAGCGTGGCCTCCAGAGAAGCCTTCTTGCGAACACGGTGGGGTGAGGAGACGTGCACAATGCCTGTGCAAGTATGCGTCAGCGATGGCTGTCAAGGATGGTAACGGTGGTTGAGTGTGCACAAATGGTAGAAATGTACGAATTGAGGCTACTGACCTTGTGTGGGCGATATTCCGCTCGTTCGCGGTCCGCAGTTGGAGTGACGCGCGAGCTCAGGAGCTGTCACTAGGTGTGCGCGAAGATGATTAACGCAGTTAAGCCGAGTGCACTGTGACCGAGTCGAGGTTGAGGTGGAATCTGGATGGGGGGAAAAGTAGCAAGTTGACTTGGGGGTGTGGCTCTTGTTGTGGGAGAGGAGCCGCGCTAAGCTTTTGTGACGGAGCTAGCGACAAAGTGAAAGGGAAAGTGGGTACAATGGCGCGCAAAGCCGTGGAAAGTCCTGAGCAACAAGCATTGGATAGCAAAACAGACTGTCATTGTATCATGATATGTAAAGAGAGACCACCGAGAAGCCAGTACGAGAGACAGGAAAGGAAATGCTGCTTACACCATGCTCAGGACCGATACACAATGCAGCGAACAATGTCGTGTACCTACTAGGACCGTTAAAGCGCATCATCGAACCAAAACACACGTTCCCCTTCTCCTATTCCACGGTCTGTGTACCAAATTCCGTGTTCGCTTGCTGCGGACCGACGGGGATGTCGCCGGTGAAAATGTGATAGAATTGCGAGCCCAGTTCCACGGCCTTTTCAACCAACCATGCAGTGAGTTGACTCAATGGTCGAATGAAAATGAGTGATTGTGGAAGTCGCCTAATCCACTGGGCAGGACTGTATAGGGGACGGAACTGCCCCGAGACTATGAGTGGTGTCATAGAAGGAGCTTCTCCACCGCCGACACAGATTACCAAGCCAAAAGTGATACATGCAGCGAGCATGGTTTGGGTCGCACCCATGGCCAGGCTTTGGCAAAGGCTGGACGCCTTGGGGTTCCCGGCAGGCCTGATGTCTCGATGGACAGGATGTGCCATGGTCTTGTGGAGATACCGATGCCACTCGGCTTCTGAGATGACGAAGAATGCAAGGCTCCAGCGAAATATCACAACATCCCACTTCGCGAGAGTTTCGATTGACTCTACTAGTAAAAGAAGCCGGATATATCCCTGGCAGACAGCGAAGACGAAACCATAGAATGCATACCAAGCGAAATAAGTGGCAGTCTTGACCTTGTCGACTTGCGCAAAACACAAGACTAGGAGTATCAGGGTAATGGGAAGAGAGACCGAAGGTCTTGCGAAAGCTTCGAGGACCAGACGTTGAGAGGACAGGACGAACACGGTTGACATTGACCAATACAGCATTTGTAGCTTGATCGAAATGACTTCTTTTTTGCGAACGACCGGCACGCGAAGGTGTTTCAGAATTGAGCGCTCGTAGATAGCATCCAGTATGTCTAGCCTCTCCTCGGTGTCTTTTAGGATCTTCTCGCGAGCCGCCAAATCTTGTCGTCTGATAGCGGTATGTACCAGCCTCGCCTCCATCCACTTCTCACCCACTTCGAGCACCATGGCTCTTCGTTGCTCCGCTGTACATGATCGATCGTCGTATAGCTGCTGCTTCTCGGTCGCCATCGCTTGGCATTCGGCTACAGCCAGCATGAAAGCGGCCCTGTCTGACAAGATGGACTCTGTTCCTGACATGGTGCTGTTGTTGTTGTTGTTGTTGTTGTTCGTATTCGAGCTGCGCTGGCATTACAGCAGAAAGCGGCGACTGCGTGGACAGATGGAAGACGACAGAACTGGGGTGGATGTGAGCAGAGAATGGTGGCTGTGCTGGTTAAAGGTAAGAGGTCGAAAGCAGGCGCAAGCATCGTCTAGATTTAGCAGGGCCAGTGGCAGGTCCATGGCAGGTGAGATTGTCGTGTGCTGTATATGGACATTGCTACTTCCGCCAGAAGGGAGTAGGTCAATATGGCAAGAACATAGGTAGACATAATGGAAGAGCACACGTCTCACGTGCTACACCACGAATGAGATGCGTGCTTGCTTGCTCATCCTTGAAGGAGCTGTACTGCCAGAGTATCGAAACAAACCCATCCTACCCGAGATAAATCTCCCAACATGAATGCAGCATGCTGAGCCTTATCCAAAAGGGACGAAGGTGACGCATTACTGCGTGTACGCGTTGAAGGGTTCAGACGCGTCCAGGCCCGTGCGATCCCGACTTCAACCCGAGCAGATACCGAATTTCACACGCTATGCTATTGCTCACCAAAAACGCCTGACCCAAGGTTCAAATGCAACCGTTAGATGTCCGTGATATCCACAAGTATATGTCCAGTCGTAAATTTTCCAGCTGTAGGGATGTTGTGACGTTCCTTGCGGGCGTTTGAAACCTAGTGATAGCCTGTACATTTTCCAGACATATTGTATGACTATGCAAGGTGAAGGGATTGCGTGAAGAGTAACAAACAAGTTTGACTGTAAGAGGAGAGGTTGAGGTGAAGGAAGGTTCGCATAGCTGTCGCTTCTCTAGCCAATGAGACTGGGCGGGCACGCGGTGGTCGTCATCGCAGAATCAGATATGACGTGAACGCGACACCCGAGATGCTGCACCGTATCAAGACCTCGGGAACCTTCACGTTTGAGCTGCATAGCAATTGCTGTTTAACGGAATCGCGAAAAAAAATAGCTTTGAGAGTCGCGCTTTGTGCATCCCGATCATCACGTAGCAAGTGCCTGTCAAACACGCAGTATACAGCGAGTCAGCAACAGTTCAGGACACCCATGGCGAAGTAAGTCATTATACCAGACACTCCTTGTGTATAAATACATTGATCGGGCTTTTGGAGGAGTGTTCAAAACTTTGAAGGCTGACTTGTACAGCGCCAAAGTATGACGGAAATGCAGACAAAGTCGGATACCAACAGTTATGGTTCAGATTTTTGCCGGTATTGATTCCATCGTACCTACGGACAGCGATCTGTGGCTCAGTGCAGCTCTGTTGAGCCACCCTAGCTTCAAATTTTCAATGTTCATACTTGCTTCCCGAATGCCTCGGAGCCGTGTTCATCATATCGAATGACTGAGGCAAAAGACATGCCAATCAGCATGTCTAAGCTATTCACAGTCTTGAACCCGCAATGAGCTGCTAACCTTGGTACACAGGCTCTACCGGAAAACAACGCACGCGTCGATACATAGCGCAACCAACTCGATAGCTCGCTGCAAATGGACTGCGACTTGAAATTCCGAAGGTCCGAAGTTGGCTTCTCAGCTCGCGCAGGATCGCCATGAGACATGACTTAACCAGTGAAATTGCGCTCAAAACAGCAGTGTCCGCACGTGCAATGCTCATCAATGTCTAATGAGCACCATAGCGCGACCTTATGAGTGTACGCGTGTCGAGATTAGAAAGCTGGGTGTGCTCGAACACGGAAAAATCTGCAATTCGGCGCGGTGCTAGAGGCACACAACGGCCTTGGCCAGTTGGCGATGGGCACTGGCTGCTTTCAATGGCGTTTTGCGCGACTTGTCAGTGATAATAAAGCTACAATGCCTCGGAGTGCCGAAAGTGTGATGGTTGGGATATTAAGCACGAGAAACTAGCAATGCTCTATAAGTGGGGGCAACGTTTCTGACATAGCTTTCGAGCAGTTCCCGGATTAGGATAAGTGGGCCGTTGAACTCGATATTCCATGAGCGATTGCAGACTGCAATGTTTCAGGTCCGGGGAATGCTCCGCTCGTGCTAAGCGAAATCCAAAGACTTGTGCGACGTCGGATGCGAATCTGGTCAAGCATCACCACGATGTCTGAATGCGGTAATGCACGAGCTTCGATCTGCACTGCCAAACGCTGGATCACACGGAGATGTTGGAATGCATCTAAATCCTTCTTATACTGCTGTCAACCTTCAACATTTGAGACAACAGCATTCGACAATAGTATTCGACACCATGTCTTTCTACACATTCGTTTCATTCGTCAGCGCGCTCGCTAGTGTTGCTCAAGCAAAAGATACCGACGATGTCAAGTACGCCCTTGAGATCTTGAAAGATCTCCCAGCAGATCTTGCCGAGCCGTTCTGTGGCACTTTCGGCGGCCAGCAGTATGGAGGTGCAACTTCAACATACACCATTACTGCTGCACCAATTACCATCACTACGACTACCCCATGCAGCAGCGGATACTCGCAGGAGCCCTATGCGCCCGATTACCCGCCATATTCGCCAATTGCCAGTGACGAATACTACCCAGGATACACGACCACCACCGATGAGTATGACTCCCCCGATTATACGCCATACCCCAGCGAGGAGGACTACCCGCCTTACTTCCCGGAACCGACCGAAGATGCTGACCCAATATACACCGATGAACCGAGCTACGGAGGAGGTCGTCCCACCGTGATCTACGACCCTACTTACTCAAGTGCGGACCTTCCCATCTACACTTCTCTGCCAAGCGGTATTGCCGACCCGGGGATGACCGACGAGCCCACAACTTTCGTGGATGAAACCAGCACTCAAACCGTGACAACCATCCAGTGTGTTTACATCTGCTTCATGATAAGATCATGGCTAACTCAAATAGAACTTCCATTGTAGTTGTCGACCCCACTGATGAGCCCACTACCTTTGTCGATGTCACAACTACTCAGACCCTGAGCTTCTTCCTGTGCGTATTTGCTGCCCATTCTTTTGACCATGGCTGACTTGTTTAGGACTTCGACCGTCGAGGTTGATCCTGTTGATGCTACTGCTCTGCCCCTCCAGTCTACCACTGACTCTGCTGCTGCTCTCCCAGTCGAGTCTGCCTCGGAGTCTTCCGCTGCTATCCCTGTTGCATCTTCCTCGGAGTCTACTGCCGCTCTTCCTGTTGCATCTTCCTCGGAGTCTGCTTCCGCTCTTCCTGTTGCATCTTCCTCGGAGTCTGCTATGCCTCTTGAGTCTGCAACCGAATTCCCTGCCATTGCACCCGCGGATGTTATGGCCACTGATGTCCCCATGGCGTCTGTTTTCAACTTCCCAAGCGCTTCCAAGCAGGTCAAGCGCAGCGCCAAGTTCCTCTACAGCCGCGACACTTGGTGCGAAGAGTATGGGCGCCCATGCCGCCTGGTAGTGTACAGCGATGAAGTCATTGCCGACGCATGTTCGCAATACCTTGGCGAGAGTGCCACTGGCTACGAGGGCGAAGAACCCGCCGTCACTGTCACTGAGACTGTATACGGTCCTACCGCCACGGTGACCGCTAGCCCGACTACTTGCGAGTACCCTGATTACACTGACGCGCCCACCTACGAAGAGGATGACCACATGACTTCTTCTGACTACGAGTACTACGAGACATCCTCAGAATATGCCTATGAGGCTTCCCCAACCCCATCCAAGGGTTACGGGTACGAGTCTGAGAAGGGCGGATATGAAGCATACACTACCACACCTGCCGGATACGACGCTGCTTACCCGAAACCATCATACACTCCCTACAAGGAATACTCAAGCTATGTCGAAGGATATGGCGAGTCTCATGATTCTGAGTCGACGAAGTACGAGGAGGGTGGTTACGAAAGCTACGAAACTACAACTGCTGGACACGATGCTGCTTACCCAGCGCCTTCCCACGCTGCGGAGTACCCGCATGAAGAACCCAAGCCTGAAGTGTGTGGTCCAGACAAGATCATCCATACCGTTACCGCGTACGTGACGGTCGAGGACAGCGCAGAAACTCCTTACCACGAGCTTCCCGCCGCGCCTCACTACGTCGAGAACAGTGTTGAGCATCCTCACTACGAGCCCACTCCCGCACCGCATTACGAGGAATATAGCACCACGGAGGTTCACTACGCGGAGTCTACACCTGAGCCTTACTACGTCGAGTCTTCCCCAGCGTCTCACTACGAAGAGTACAGCACCACGGAGGCCTACTATGCCGAGTCCACCCCTGCGCCATCATACGACGAGTACACCACCACATCGTCGTACGAAGAGTCCTACCCCGAGCCCACACCCGCGCCATACTACGGTGACGAGACCTCTTCCGAAGCAGGCTACTACGGCGAGGAGAGCACCACAGAGGCCGGCTACTACGGCGAGGAAAGCACAACGGAGGCCGGCTACTACGGCGAGGAGAGCACAACAGAGTACTACGGCGAGCCCACTCCCTCGCCATACTACGGCGACGACAGCGCAACCGATGTCTACGCAGAGCCCACCACTGAGGCGTTCTACGACGAGCCTGCGCCTACTGATGCCCCATATGCTACTCCTACATCCGAGGATCTACCAATTTCTGAGCCTACCGATGCGCCGTATGAAGACCCCGCGCCTGTAGAGGATGCGCCCGCGGATGAGGCTGCCCCGGTGGAGGGTGAGGGTGAGTGGCCCAGCCCGACTGATGAGGGAGACCTGCCTACGACGACGGAGAACCCCTTCGCACCTGGGCCGGATGGTCAGGTGGATTGGGTTGTGCCTGGGACCATGGAGTTTGGAGGCGAGTAAGCGCGTGACGAAATGGAGCTAAGGAGGAGTGTTGTGTCAGGAGAAGTGAACAGTAAAGTGGAAGAGTTGTTCATAAGAAGTTGATAATTGTAATTAATCATGTTTCCTTATTGATGAGAATGTTACTGTATCTTTTCAACGTCTGCGACGAATTCCACAAGGATCTTTTCGAAGCGTGCTGGGTCTTCCCAGAAAGGCGCGTGGTGCAATCCATCCAATCTCAGACACTCATTCTTCCACAGATTCTTCCACTTGATCTTATCCAAGTAATCCAAATTCACAAACTGTTCTTCCGCACCGTTCACAACCGCAATCAACACATCGGTACTCTCCACAACCTTCCTCTGATCAACCCCACCGGGCTCTTTGCCCAAAAACCTGTCCGCCATGATCATGCGCACTCTCGGATCCGTATCCTTCGCATCCTGCTCCATCCACCTCGCCCAAAACTCCTCCTTCCCTGCCGCCGCACTATTCTTCGAAAACTGCACCGCTTGCTCATCCGTCCAATCCCGCTGCCCCGCAAGGCCCAACTCGCTCTCCTCCGTCGCCATCGTGAATCCCTGGCGAACCTGCTCGACACCAAGTGCCGGTGGTGTACCAATCAGCATCAAGCCCTTCATTACAATCCTCTTGTTATTCTCTCGCGTCTTGGGGTCTTGGAGCAACTCGATCATTTCGATGCCGATGTGCCCGCCCAAACTCCATCCAACCACGACGACTTCCTCGATATTCAGGTGTTGCAGGATGCGCACTGCGACCTCGGCGTAGCCGCGCATGTGGTATGTTTGCGACGGGTTGGGGGCCTTGGAACTGCTGCCGTGGCCGGGGAGACAGAACGTGACGACGCGCCAGCGCGATGTGATCTCTTGGGATTCGGTGATGTGGCGGAAGATCTTGGACGAGGAGGAGTTGCCGTGGAGGAGTAGGAGGGCAGGTTTGTCGTTGTGTAGGGCAGTGTCGATTACGCTTGTGAGGCCGTGTTCGGACTCGAATGTGAAGGATGACATTGTGGGGTTTTGGCATGTATGGCTGAAGGGCAGAGTGCATTATCCGGAGTGGGGTGGAAGTATCAATCCAGGTTTGCAAAAGTTCGCGGATTATTATATCTATTGCTCAGGTGCAATGGCCACACCGACCAGGGTAAGCAGTGACGCACTGCATACGTGGGGTAGCTTGCGTCAAGCTTGTGATACCTGTTACGAGGGCTAGGTTGGCCCCACGGCAGCAAGCCATGGGCTCGAATCACGGAAAACGAAGTAATAAGACGTAAGTTTGACGTGCCCTGCAGCCAGCGATGTTCGTCTAGCATACGAGGCGGATCACTACTCCTAGCATGGACCCTGGCGGACGTGACCCCCGCACCCAATAGCATTTGGTCGCGTGGTTGGGAGCATTGCCTAGAGTCGTGGCATTTCGGCATTTCGTCACACGTATTTGCTGACATTGGCCAGAGATAGCTATATGATCATTTGGCGGCTTTGATGGTTTTCTGTAACTAGGTGCGACCTTGGTCAAGTCTGAATTTGTACAAATTCTACCCGGCAGTACACGAGCCAAGTTATTCTTCATCTTCGTCCTCATCTTCGCCCTCTTCATCATCATCATCATCATCATCGTCGTCGTCGTCGTCGCCATCCGATACCTCCTCTCCGAGCTCCTTAAGACGTTTCTAGTGGATGTTAGGAAGTGCTTGGCTATATAATTGGGTGAACGTACCTTATCCTTGCTCCTCTTCTCTTCCAAGTCACCAAGGATTACAAAAAGATCATCAAGCTCCGTCTGCTTCTCTTCTGTGCTCTTCTCAGCGGCGCGCAACTTCTCTTGCAACGTTTTGAGCTCCTTGTCTTTGCCGTCTTTGGCGCCTTTCGTGCTTGACTCAGCTTTGCGCAGTTTATCCTCTGCATCCTTTACCTTCCACGTCTGATCTTGGACCTTGGTTTTGAGCTCTTGGTTCTCTGCCTTGAGCGTTTCGATTGCGGATTGCAGGCCTTCTTTGTCTTCCTTGAGACCTTTGACCTGTGTTTCGCTGTCTTGAACATGCTTCTCTAAATTGTGCAAAGTCTCGGTAATCGTTGCAATCTCCTTACGGGTTTGGTGCTGTGTTTGCTCGAGGCTACGTATCGTACCAAGAGCCTCTTGTCTCGCTTTATCCGATATCTCAAGTCGACGCTCGATATCTGAGCGGACTTTGTTAGACTCGTGAAGCTTCTCTTCGTACTCTTGTTTTGTTCTTGAGACGGCGAGCGTGGACTCCTTGCTAGCCTGCTGCAGCTTATTATTGAGAGCGACAATCTGGAGGTTGTACTTGTTTTCAAGTTCAAGAGTCGCTTGCTTGTGTTCCCGCTCCCTGCTCGCAATTTCTTTGTCCAAGTCATCGTGGAGCTTGTCGTTGATTTTTTTCAAAGTGTTGCGCTGCTCATCAGCTGATTGCTGCGTCTTTCGGTGGTCCGCAGATTCTTGATCAAGCCTTTGCTCCAGAGTCATGAGCTGTGTCTTCAACTCTTGGATGGACTGCTCCTTCTCGTCTCTCTCGTCGCGCAGTGCGTCCACCACGTCGCGATCTACACCATCATGTGACTGATGCTGCTCAATGTTGGGATTGCGGTCGACAGCACGAGTGAGCCGGCTGAAGTTGTCCTTGAGGAAGTCTATGAACATTTCGTCGAAAAATACGTCCGGTAGACTGCCGCTTCCGCCGCCAGTGCGTGGCAAAACTTCAAAGTCGCGAACAAGGGGATGTTGCCGTAGTTCGGATATCGCTTCAAGGTACTTTTCACGACCAAGCTTCGAAGTCAGAACTGGCTGAAGCTCTCGTCGCGGTACTGGCGAATCTCTTGTTGAAAATTCGTACACCACACCTAGCAAAGATGCACAGAGACCCCGAATGATGACTCGATCGTCACCAGGAGTCAAAGTAGCTTGTACTAAGCTTTGTAAGCTACTAGCCTCGCCAAGGAAATCATCTACTGCCGCAGCATCTTCATATAGCCATTCCAGGAGGAGCATGAGATATGCTATCGAGATGCGCTCATCTTCACCGAGTTGTAGACTGGCTATCAGGTTGGCCGTAAGCGTTTGTATGCATGTAATAACTTCTTCACCACTGTCCGCGTCACCCTCTTTGACCTGCATGAGCGTATCTTTCGCTCGAAGGTCGCCAACAATGAGATGGTAGATGAGAGTCGATGCGAACCAGATTCTGTAAGGATCGGAGGCTGGCGAGGCTTGCGGTCCTGCCATCAAAATCGTCAACGCATTTGCTGTCTCATCTCCACCCTCATGGCCACCAATTGCTCGATTGAGGAAATGCTCGCGAATCTGCATGTGATTGTAGAAGTAGGATCTGACGCACTCGCAAGCTGCATTGCGTAAATCAAACAGCTCGTTAGGCGCGGGTGTAAGTACCAGGTTCAGGAGCGCTTCAATAACATATACAGATGGATGGCCATTTGGTGTAGACGCTCCGTTCGTTGCAGACTCTACAAAAGGACGTACTTGTTCTTGCGCGAACCCCTCCTGCAACCGTGGGTTTCCCCGAATCATGTCGGCACAGGTGTTCAAAGCTTCGATCTTGATGGGCATGACAGTCGTGGGTTCGAAGGCGATGTTTAGGAGCTGTCGCAACAGTCCGTGTTTCTGGAAGGCGATCTGGTTCTGTGGGGTACCGGCACTGCCTTTGACGAGGAACATGCGCATGATTGCAAGGAGACCCCATATGTTCTTATCACTCTGTGGACTGGTCCAGTTGTCGTCTTCCTCGGGGCTGACGCGCGCTTTCTTTTGCTTCTTTGCGCCAGGCAGCAAAGAATTGAACCTGGCAATGTGGCCCATCTCGCGGATGTTTGTCTGGTTCGAAGCGTTGTATCTGATTAGGCTAGCGAGCAGACTTAGGCAGTCTTGCACGACGATACCTCCTTGCAAGAGCCCTCCATCTGTATGTACCATGTTGAAGACCTTGGTGAAAGCATCTTCAAATACGAAGAGCTTCTGAAGCTCAGGTGAGGATCGAGCGAGGTCAGTAAGGAGGACAAGACCTTCGTTGCGAACAGCGTCTCGGGGATCGTCTAGTGTCGCGACCAATCGTGAAGTCCCTAAGGGAGCCGTGAGGATGCATTCTTGGGTCCGTTCAGGTCGGGCGAGTGCTACGGCTCGTATGATCTGTAGGGAGTAGAGGCGCGAGTAGAAGTCGGGGGTGTCGAGGAGGTCGAGAAGGATGGTTATGTTATCTTGTCGCTAACATAAGCTCAGCACTAGCAATTGGAGAGCAGAACACTACGCACCTGGGAGAATTGATCGGCGAGCCACAGTGATATCTCTTCTGATGCTTCTGGCTGTGTCTTCTCTCAGCTATGCCACTTATGAGCGCAACAGATGACCTACACTTTGCTCATCTGGGTGGAACAGCATCAAAAGCGTCTCCAAGACCACTTTGAGCGTATCGAGGTCCTCTCCATCCTGGGTCAGGGCAGAGATGAGCCCACGGAGAGCGCCGGATGCAACTGAGGCGGGATACTCTTTGGCAAAGCTGCGGAGTCCGAGTATGGCAGCACGACGGTCTTCCAGCAGAGTTGCACTCGCTAGTCGACTACTCAGGGTGCTGATTGTATCCGTAGCCGTCTGCTTGGGAGGCGCCTGGGCCTCGAGTACGCGCATCATCTTGGGCAATGTTCAGCAAGAATCATGAGTCCATGGTGAGAGTTGATATGGCAGGCCTAAGGCGTATTGGGCGTTTGAACGGCTTGTGAAGTACAGCAACAACTAGCTTTGGGTACAGGAATCAAACGAAGAAGCAATCCGCCCTCAAGCTGTGCTGTCCAGAACATCGGCCTAGACAAGCTCCACGTACAAAATAGCGCACGGGGCAGGTCGGACCCTGACGCTCCTGCATCCATGGGATCGCGTCGGCAGATCTCCGGGCTCCGCGCCTTGGCGGATATTGTTAGAGAGTTCTGTTCCGTCGCTGCCTCTCTTTCGCGCCTTCCTTCACCCACCCTCGCCACCTATCAGCCGCACGCGCACTCCGGATATAGCGTGTCGCAGAGCTCTCGCGACCATCAGAGCGCCAGCTTCGCTCCTTTGGATTGCTCACCTAGCCCGGACAAAGGCCGTGGACAGGTGTATTTCATTGCCAAGGCCATTCTTTAATTCAGGCTGCGCTGCCTCGACGCAACGTCGAGTCTAGCGTTTTCCATCTTCTGTATTATCACGAAAATACTATACAGTTTCAGACTATTAGTATACGTCTTTCACTTTCACCGGTGTCTCTCACTACTATTCGACCCAGCTATACACGGCGCGCATCGGACAAACCGCACGCGACGACGCGCCCACCGCCATCATGGGTGTTCCCGCTATGTTTCGCTGGCTCAGCCAGAAGTACCCCAAGATCGTCTCGACTGTTCAAGAAGAGCAGCCGAAGAAGGTTGGTGATGAGGTCATTCCTGTCGACCGCACCGGCCCCAACCCGAACGGCGAAGAGTTCGACAACCTATATCTCGACATGAACGGCATCGTTCATCCCTGCTCGCATCCCGAAGATAAGCCTGCACCCAAGACCGAAGCGGATATGATGATGGCCATCTTTGAGTATACAGACCGTGTTGTCGGCATGGTGCGCCCGCGCAAGCTGCTGTACATGGCAGTGGACGGTGTCGCTCCTCGTGCCAAGATGAACCAACAGCGCTCGCGTCGTTTCCGCGCTGCAAGGGAAGCCAAAGAAAAGGATGAAGAGCGCGCCGAGTTCCTCAAAATGCTCAACTCACAGAAAGCCAGTCGTGGTGAAGACATCAACAGCTTAGAAGAGGTCGTTGAGAAGACCTGGGATTCTAATGCTATTACACCCGGTACACCCTTCATGCATCTTCTTGCTGAGAGTCTCCAATACTGGTGCGCGTACAAGTTCACTACCGACCCATCGTGGAAGGACATGAAAGTCATCATATCCGATGCATCTGTGCCTGGTGAAGGAGAACACAAAATCATGAATTTTGTTCGCTCGCAACGCGCTATCCCTACTCATGACCCCAATACCCGTCACGTCATCTATGGGTTAGACGCTGACTTGATAATGTTGAGTCTTGCTACTCACGAACCCCACTTCCGAGTTCTCAGAGAAGATGTCTTCTTCGATTCCGGTAAGGATAAAGCTTGCACGCGATGCGGACGCAAAGGCCATATTCGCAACAACTGTGAATTCCCAGACGACGGGAAGAAGCTTACCGAGGAGGAGGCTGCAGAGGAGTGGGCCGCTTCTGAGCACCCGCCGAAGCCATACATTTGGCTGCACACCAATATTCTCCGCGAGTACTTGGCTGTCGAAATGGAGACTCCAAAGCGGCGTTTTAAGTACGATCTTGAGCGATCGCTTGATGACTGGGTGTTCATGTGTTTCTTTGTTGGAAACGATTTCTTGCCACATCTGCCCAGTCTTGAGATTCGAGACCAAGGTATTGATCTACTTATCAGCATCTGGCGAGATCTAGCCGCTGAGATGGATGACTATGTGACAAAGGACGGCTTCCCTGACATGCGTCGCGTACAACAGATTCTCGGTGCTCTAGCCAGTCGGGAAGCCGATATCTTCAAGAAGCGGAAGGAGGTCTCAGATCGTCAAGCCGCGAACAGAGCCCGACGAGAGGCTCAGCAGAATGGCAGAGGTCGAGGTCGAGGAGATGACACCTATAGTTCAGGTCCGCCGCAGAAGCGCGTAAAGGAGAGCACCGACACTTACCTGAACTCGGGCACAATCTTCTTCGATCCAAAAGACGCCCAATCGAACGACACCCGTCGTGATCACGCAGCGATGCGCTCACGTTCGCGATGCACAGTCCAACAAGAGCGCGGCCGCTAAGCTAAAGGAAATGATGAAAGCCAAGGCTGATGGTACAGCAATGCCCGAGGCTGAAGGCACTCAGGAAACAGATTCTGCGACTGGTGTTGAGGCACCGGTCGAGCTCGGTAAGCGCAAAGCCGATGAACTGGAGGATGCCGACAACGGCACCCCAGGCCGCAACACTCCCGTTGTACCAGCGTCGCCAGCCGCTGAAACACCGAAGAAGGAGGATGGAACCCCGGAAGACACCATCAAACTCTGGGAGGATGGTTATGAGGAGCGATACTACGAACAGAAGTTCCATGTGGCACCTGATGATATCGCGTTCCGTAACAAGGTCGCTCGACAGTACGCGGAAGGTCTATGCTGGGTATTGGCATACTATATGCAAGGTTGCCCTTCCTGGACCTGGTACTTTCCCCACCACTACGCACCCTTTGCCGCAGACTTTGTAGGTCTCGAGGACATGGACCCTCGCAAGCTCTTCGAAAAGGGCACGCCGTTCCATCCGTACGAGCAGCTCATGGGTGTGTTGCCTGCTGCATCCAACCATGCCATCCCTGAGCCTTTCCGTGTCCTTATGGAGGATCCAGAAAGCCCGGATTATCGACATTCTACCCCGTAGATTTGCCCGACTCGACCTCAACGGAAAGAAATTCGCTTGGCAAGGTGTCGCAGTCTTGCCTTTCATCGACTCCAAGCGTCTGCTTGATGCCATGGCGACGAAGTACCCCGAACTATCTGATGACGAGAGGAAGCGGAACGAATTCGGCAAGGAGACGTTGATGTTCTCGCAAGAGGGCGGTCTCTTTGACGACGTTGAGAAGGCGCTCTATCGCAAAGGCGTCAAGAAGCACAGCATCGATCCGGCCCAGAGTCGTGCTCTGCACGGGGACATTGAGCCGCATGATCTATTCGTGCTGGACAGTCAACTAGTCCCTCCCTTCGATGTTGATGGGGACAGTGAGTTTGAGATCGTGCAGGATGGTTCTATGAGGTTAGTGTTCCCAACGTCGCTCAAAACCATCAGCTAACAATTGATAGGGTATACTACGAAATGCCACGTCTGAATTCGAAGAATGCGCATAAGTCTGTCTTGCTTCCTGGCACCAAGATGCCAACACCTGCACTTAGTCCCGGTGAAGCTGAATCTGTACGCCGATCAAATGAGCGTGGCGGTTGGCGTGGTGGACGGGGCGGCGGGCGTGGCGGCGGAGGTCGTGGAGGTTTCAATGATCGCCGCAATAACGACAACATGCGTGGCGATTACCAAAACGGAGGACGAGGTGGCTACAACAATGGAGGCAGGGGAGGCTACAACAACGGAGGAGGTCGTGGAGGTTACAACGGAAACCAAGGTGGCTATGGTGCACCACAAAACTTCCCACCGCCCTTCCCAAACTCATGGCCACCCCCACCTGGTGGTGCAAACTTCGTCCCTCCCCCACCACCAGGCTGGGTACCACCTCCACAGCAGGGAGGCTATCAGGGCGGTGGAGGCTACGGCGGTCCTCCTGGAATGCCACCTGCGCAGCGTCCGGCCTGGATGGGCAACGCGCCTCCTCATCATGGCGGCCCACCACCGCAACAAGCCGGCAACAACAGCTCGCTTAGGAACGAGCAGTACTACCGCCCTGCGGATGAGATCCTAGGTCGCAACGGCGGCGGGAGCGGAGGCTACGGAGGACACAGGAACGACAACCCATACAATGACCGACAACCCCGGAATGATCGTGGCGGGGCTCGTGGTGGTCGGGGAGGTGGCCGAGGTGGAGGTGGCGGTGGCGGTGGCGGATATGGAGGAGGCGGAAACAGGCAGTCGCACAACTCGAACGACTACCGCTGAAGATCTTTTGAAGGCGCATAAAATGATTGGGGATTTCGATTGGTTCTTTGTAAGATAGTACGGAACGCCAACTGATACACTTGGCTGAACTCGACGCCCCTACCTGCGTGGTGTTAGTAGAAACAATTCACTTCAGAAATGTGTCAATCGTGTACTTGTTCTGTTGTGATGTTACTGCTGATACCCAATTCAATGTATGCGATCTGGGTCTATTGAAGGTGGCTAGGCAAGGAAAAGAATGCATTCATAGGTTACAGTTGACTCGAAGATTTGCTCAACCCCTGGTATGATCAATCAATTGAACACTAGTACATCTGAGCCCAGAACAAAGTTCTCCACCACAACTGGCACAAGCTTCTTCCCATTCTCGTCAATCAAGCTACTCGAATGACCCCCTTACTCTCCACATTCATCCACCTCATCCCTTAACTCATTCGAACGCTGATCGAACCATGTATTTTCAGAGCCCGGATGAAGACATGTATTCATCCCTGGCGTGCTGTCTTCTGTCTGCAGTCTGATGCTCAGAACCAGCAAGCGGACCGCCCGTATAAGCTGATACGGAGGGCCCTTATTCGATAGTGATCCCGAAACGTTGCGGGACTTTCATCGATGCTGCTGGAGAATAGATGTAACATGATACTTCATTGCGAAGCGGTGGTTAACACGAAGGGAACTGGCTCAGAACGAGTGGACTGAGACCTATCAGAGTTGCAGGATCACAGATTAGGTGAAAATAGCTGCAGTAATCTCATTCTAATGCGCTGAGTAAGTATCGTGTAGTATGGCAAACGAAGGCAGCTTTCAAGGTTGAGTTGTAGCTATGGCAAGCGCGCTAGCCTAGTTCACCCCACCATGCACAAAATGCACAAAACTAACCACACTAGCTTCAGAAACTTCGACAAGAAACTGTTGGCGTGCATTTATACATAGCAAAAAGAAAGAGAGACAGTCAACCGAAACTTGCTCTTGTAACACGCGCAGAGAACTACCAAGGGTCCACGATCAACATGGCGTACAGCGATTCAGATGCAGCAAGCTCCGTCGGCAGCATAGTAGAGGACGCAAGCGAGCCAGATACGACGACCTTCAAGTGCCTTTTTTGCGAGCAGCAATGGACTCGGGTACCGGATATGTCGACACACTGCAACAGCGAGCACAAGTTTGATCTGCCAAACACGATCAAGAGTCTCGGACCAGGTTCGTCTAACACCTGACGCTTTACCTATTTGGGATATGTCACTAACTCACTGCTCTAGGAGCCGACGAGCTTACGGTCATCAAGTTGGTGAACTTCCTAAGGTCTGAAGTACAGAAAGGAGCGTCCTCCGAGAAGATTGAGATCCCTAACCTTAGTGGCTCATCGAGTGACAAATACCTGCAACCTGTACTTGAGGACGATGCACTACTGTTTGAACTTGGAGATCTCATGCCAGACTCAGACACCAAGGTTGTGGACTATGATGAGTTCGAGGCCAAACTACAGCGAGACATACCGGAAGACTTCTCCAAGATCAAGATTACGAGTGACAGGGATGAGGACTATTTCGAATCCTACAAAGGCAACGGCATCCATCGCGAGATGATCGAAGATCGCGTACGGACAGAAGGTTACCGCGACTTTATCGAGAAGAACGCTGAAGTGTTCGCCGGAAAGACTGTGCTAGATGTAGGCTGCGGTACTGGTATACTGTCACTCTTCTGCGCCAGAGCAGGTGCAAAGAAGGTCTTCGCTGTCGACAACTCAGGTATTGCGTTACGAGCAAAGGAGATCGTCGCAAAGAATGGATATCAAGATCGCATTGAAGTCATCCAGGGACGAGTGGAGGACTTCAACACCCAGCGCTTGATTGGAAAGGAGAAGGTCGACATCATTATCTCTGAGTGGATGGGCTACGGCCTGCTGTTCGAAGGCATGCTTGACTCTGTGCTACGCGCCCGAGACATGTATCTCAAACCGGAGGGTATACTGGTGCCGAGCCACTGCAACATCCGCCTTGCGCCGATTGCAGATGATGAATGGATTGCGCAGAGCACAAGCGAGAAGTTCTGGAAGGACATCTATGGGTTCGACTTTTCTCCCATGATCGGTGGCGGCCTACTCAACACGCACGAAATTGGTGTCTTCGACGTTCCGGAACAATCATTGTGCGGCTCGGCATCGTCTCACTTGCTAGAGATGAAGACTGTGTCTGTCCAAGACCTGAGCTTCAAGGTCCCCCTTCGGATGACATTGGACCGCGACATACAATCACTCGACGCGGTGGCAATCTGGTTCGACACACTGTTCATTCACCCCGGCAGCTCGCAAGACATCAAGACTGTTGACAGCATTGAGTGGGGTAGGAATGGAATCCCTGGTCTCGGCTTCTCAACTGGCCCGACCAACACGCCTACCCACTGGCATCAAGCTGTTCTCCTCCTTGACAAGGAGGTCGCACAGAAGCAGAAATTCGCGAAGGGTACAGTGCTCGAAGGCACTCTGCAGTACGCGAAGGAGAAGGGTGATGATCGCGGTATTACGGTGACGGTGGAATGGGAAGGTGCTAAAGACGGTGAGAAGGTGAAGGGCAGTGTCACGAGGACAATGGCTTGATGGAGGCAGAAGGATTGGTGAACCAGATTCCGGACATAACAACCTTACAGCCGAGAATGGACCCAGGTCATCAGTGGCGTGCCGCGACTTTGTACGCCGCGACGACGCGTCTGTAGGCTAGCTAGCAAGCCTCAAGCTGCGAAAATTCCAATTGCAAGTTCAGTGTAATAGATCAGATACACATTCCGTCCCTTTTGGCTGTCTTGAGTTATGGTGACGACACCACGTGGCCTGTGCGGGCGCGTGAACATCGAGCGATGAGCGGCTGGCATTGCTGCGCGACATCACGACGACCGTAATCTTGGGGCAGCACGCACTCTGACACGGATACTAACAATGCGACCCCGATAACAATCACTCTAACAACTCATGCGTGGTATTTTGCCCGGCCGGCCGCAGGCGAAGCTGCAAGCTGTCTGTCATGGCTTATGGGAGAGCTATCAAGTCATTGTACGACGCTTCTTTTAACTCCGACAACAAATTCACAAAAGCTGATGCAAGCACCACATAGGCTTACATATCCGGCAACGCGCTTGTAATTCTCGACCGGCCCAACCACGTCGTTCAAACTATCTATGTCGACGAGGAATTCGACCTGGAGGCGGTCGCGCTCGACGTGGGCACCGGCAAGCTTGCAGTATGCTCCGCACAGCACATATACATATACCAGCCATACGGACAAGATGAAGGCGTCGTCAAGGTGTGAGCACTATGATCGCATATCGACCTGCAATAGCTGACTGGTCGTAGTGGTCGAGACAGGGGAGCATGACCCTACCTGCTTCAGGCGACTCGATAACGACACTATCATGGGGCATGCCTGACGAGCTACTTGTAGGCAGCGCGTCTCTTACGCTTTTCAACACACATGGCGATACCGAGCAGATATGGACCCAGCGGCTTGCGAACCCAGTGAAGTTCGCACACTTCTCGCCCGATGCGGAATTAATAGCTTCAACGGGAAGATATGATCGGCTGCTCAAGATCTGGCGCAGAACATCGTTTGGCTCAGCAGACCAGCGCTTCGACTACTTCTACCTACCACATCCGAAGGCGATCACGGGTCTGCATTGGCGACAGCAATATCACAAGGAACAATCTGCAGACAATGTTCTGTACACCATATGTGCAGATCACAAGGTGCGAGTCTGGGTGCCAGGTGAACATCATGGCGTAGACGGGATGCACATGTGGGCTGATGTTGATCTGATGGAGTCAATCATGCCTCGGACGCTACCACTAAACGAGCAACCCAGCAAGAGATTCGCATTCTTCATCGATGGAGCGCACTTCACCCGTGCAACTGAAAGAGCAATGCAGCTGGCTTCGGTAGACGAAAAGGACCATGGCGTCGCGCTGCATCATTTGATGGAAGTGGCCAACCGCAACCCAGAGATATGCGTAGTTCTCGATGACCAGGGAAACATGTCTGCCTGGGGCTTCGAGAATGTTGGAACCAAGGCCAAGAGAATCACCGACGTTTTCAATGCTGCCCATGTGGATGGGTTACATCTGCATTTTGCGAGAGAACCTAAAGCTTCCGAGGACAACGTCCAGATATATGCCTTTATTGGTGATAAGCCCGACTCCGAACTGACCATACTCACACATCACTTCGACGGGCGAATAGAATGGCTGGAATCACGAATTGACTACCTTTTTGATCCTTCTGCACAGACGCAACGCATGCAGCGGCAAGCTGTATGGACTGGACACTCGCACGCAATCAAGAAAGTCAACCGCACAGCTAGTGGAAGGGCGCTGGTGTCGAGGACAACTAACGACGAGTGCATAGTGTGGGTGCAACGGCCTTCGGAACATGGCAACACACTTCATCGACATAGCAGTATCAAGGGAACGGAACATATACGCAGAACAGCGCTAATCCAGGAAGGAAACTTTGTTGTCTTTCTCCACTCCGACCGCATCTCATTGTGGGATACACGCGGCCCAGAAGCTATTGAGGTCACACATTGCCCGTACACATTGCAAGGCAAACCACTTTGCTTGCTTGTCATTCCTGAGACTGAGGCTGGCGGTAGAAGCGTGCACATCGCGACAATAAGCTCGGACATGAAGGGCGTTTGTTGGGAAGTTACATTGCCACTTTTAGACCGTGACCCGGTCACTGGTCGTAAGCTATCGAGCATTCCACAAACAAACGGCCATGTCAACGGTCACCTGGAAACTTTGTTGGCAGAATTTTGTAGCTTCGATCTTGGTTCCGGCGATGATCTTGCTTTCGTTTTACCAGTCGATCCCGCTGGCTCCGCCCCCGTCATATCTGGATTTCTCGACGCTTTCGCACGCGATGTTGCCATCTCATACACCAAATCTGGGCAGATCAAATCATGGACAACGCGTGTTGATACAAAGAAACGGAAACTGGACTGGCTCCTCACATCATCTGTTGAGACCGGCATTTCCAACCCGTCGCTTGCTAGTGGTACATCAATACGGAAAGCTGCGCTTGCAGACGCAGACAAGACTAGGTTGACTATCTGGAACACGCGCAGCGCGCAACTGGAGTATGAAGAATCGTTCGAAGGCAACGGCGAAATTCATGATCTCGACTGGTCCTCCACACCGGACAACCAGTCAATTTTGGCTGTCGGATTCCCCCATCGAGTTGTCATCTACGCTCAGCTGCGGTATGACTATCTCAACGCGGGACCATCATGGGTGCAGATCCGCGATGTCCGCATTCGAGATATCACGCCACATCCCATCGGTGATTCGGTTTGGTTAAGCAGTGGCAATTTAGTCATTGGAGCTGGTAACCAGCTATTCATCCAAGACGAGCAGGTCGAAGTTTCCGAAACACTGTTCCCCAGTCTTCGCACAATTTCGCGCAAGTCCGCGTCGCTTGATCTGTTCACAGCTGTGAGTAGGCTCAACGGTCCACTGCCTGTCTATCATCCCCAACTTTTGTCGCAATGCGTCCTTGCGGGGAAGTTGCTACTGGTGCAGCGTATACTCCTACGACTCTATCAGAAGTTGAAGTTCTGGATTGAAGGTGAGGAGCTGGAAAGTTCGTTAAGCTTTGCACCAGAAGACTTCTCTGAGGACGAGGTAAGGATCCATACATTCATATTTGTCTGCCATCTTCTGACATACGCAGACCCATATGACTGCGTCAAGAAAAGAGGTGCATTCGGCATATACCGACTTTTCCGACGATACCGAACCGCAGTCTGTCACAGAAGAGGTGGCAAGCAATCTCAAGGAGCTTCTCACCACAAAGCGTATTCCGCTTCTATCTAGTCGTGAGCAATTCCGCCTTGCAGACATCGTCGAATGCGTGGGTGTGGTTGAAAAACACCGACGCTCCACCGATGATAATGCTGGTCGTTTCTTGCTCTTCTTCCGCCAGCATGTACAGAACGATGCTCAAAAAAGCCCCATTTCTTGGCGCGAGATCGTTTGGGCCTTCCACTCTGGCAGTCAGGACATCCTGGCAGATCTTGTAAGCCGGCATTTCAATGGCAAGATGCTTTGGCAGCATGCAAAGGAGTGCGGAATCTTCATGTGGATGTCAGATATCAACGCCCTTGTAAGCTTGTCCCCAGTAGCCTGTAATGCTTTTGCTAACATTCGCAGCGTGCTCAATTCGAGGTCATAGCTCGCAACGAATACACCAAAACTGAAGAGAAGAACCCAGTTGACTGCGCGCTATACTATCTGGCATTACGCAAGAAGCCTGTTTTGTGTGGACTTTGGCGCATGGCCAGCTGGTCCCGTGAGCAAGGAGCAACGTCACGACTCCTTGCTAACAATTTCAATGAAGAACGGTGGAAGACGGCTGCGCTTAAAAATGCATATGCACTCATGGGCAGACGACGTTTCGAATATGCAGCCTCATTCTTTCTACTGGCGGACCACCTTCAAGATGCGGTGAGCGTCATACACAATCAGCTTGATGACACACAGCTCGCCATTGCCGTAGCACGTGTCTATGGCGGCGATGATTCGCCCGTTCTGCTCAACTTCTTGAAGGAGAAAATCTTGCCTCAAGCTGTCCGAGAGGGAAACCGATGGCTCGCAACTTGGGCAAACTGGCTACTCGGTCGCCGCGATACTGCCGTTCGCGCACTCGTCACGCCCTTGTCGACCCTACTCGATCTTCCTGAGGCCCCAGATCTCAAGTCCAAGTCTTACCTCACAGATGATCCTGCGCTTGTTGTGCTCTACCAACAGCTACGCGAAAAATCACTGCAAACTCTGCGGGGCGCTAGCATGGTCGGCATGCGCGAAGAATGGGAGTTTGTACTCCACACAGCCAACTTGTACGAGCGTATGGGTTGCGACGTCCTCGCACTAGACCTTGTCAAGACGTGGGAATTCTTGCTACCGCCGCCACCCAAGATCACACCAGGACGACCGCCACTGTCGCCAATGATGCCGCGCGAATCTTTCCATGCACACGGACCGAATCAGAGTGCCACGGACTTCGACTTTGACCCACGGAAGTTACTGAGACGGCGCAGCTCGCTTGTCGTCGCTGACCTGCCGACGCGAGAACATGTTAAGAACGATCTCGCCGAGTCTAAGGGCACTCTAGATGAGGCCGAACACGAAGAAAGCGACGATGATGAAGAGGATGAAGAGGATGAGGTGGAAGAGCAGAAAGAAGAACCAAAGAAGAAGCCGCCGCCTACACAATTCAAGGAGCCTGACGCGAGTAGTTTGCTGGACGCTTTTGGGTTCTAAGTCACTCTTGATCGTACAACAATGGCGTCCCAGGCGTCCACTCGGCTCAATAGTGCTTGTAGGTCTCATCCCATAGGATCATGTTACTTACAGCGTTGCTAGGATTATAATCCAACCCTTCTTGAGCATTGTGGCGCGTACTTACTTGGTCTCTCTCTCACATTTCTAATATACATATTTTCGTCTCAATACATCAAACACACCCATAACATACGCTCACGTTGGCGTCTAAGCTACTCCTACAAACAGTCATCTCTCTGTACATCCTTGTTTCTGTTCTCCAGTTCATCATCGCCGTTTAACTTCCTTATCGCAAGCACTCCTGCTATGCGTGGAGAGTTTCCATTCGTCAGCTGCGCTTGCCACATGTCCTCTAGGTGGCTGCAGAATCGTGTTCGTATCTAAGCTCTACATCACACGGCGTTGAAGGGCGACTTGTCGTTGCGTTTATGGGTGTCATTGGGCATTCTTGCGAGCGGCTCTTCTTCTATAAGAGTCTCTTGCGGCTACAGTATTCAAGCTCATCACGATCAAGTGTATACATCAAATCATGGTAAGTCTGTTTGTTTGGTTTTTTTGAATTGTTTTTGGATTTTTGTTTTCGAAATCAATGCTAACGAAGGAAATGCAGACCACTTCTCAGATCTTTTTGTTCGTTTGAACGACGCTCCAACTCCAGTGAATCGTTTTTCCCAACTTATCCTCCAGACCAGTCTGGCTGTTCTGCTCCGCCGCAGTCACCATGTATACTCCACCACACCGAGCCACGACGAGGCGATACTACTTGCTGGGCTTTGTGCGCGCCTTCTTGATAGACCGACCCTGAGGAGTGCCCATATCTGACTCGTCGTCGCCCTCGCTGGCGTCATTCTCATCATCCCGGGAGTACCTGCGTTTCTGTGGCGGCGAAGGGGTAGCCGGCCCAGCAGCAGCCTGAGCGCGCTGCCGACCCTTTGCTGTCTTGCCCGAGGAAGCAGCAGCAGAGGTAGGCTCATCATCTTCTGAGTCGCTGTCCGAGTCGTCGCTGTCTTCTTCTCCAGGAATCTGGATGCCCACTGAGGACGGCACGGCCCGACGATTGTAAGAGTTGTGAATAGCCGACCGCATGTCGTTCGCATCCTGGTGCTCACGCTCCTCAACGTCCTCGTCATCGCTAGCCTCCTCTACCGAGTCATATGCGCCCGAGACAGACTCCAAAGCTACCTCACTGCGAGCTCGCTCGGCGCCCTCCGACAAGATCTCTTCATCCGTCTCCGCCCACTGTTCGTCGTCCGGAAGCTCATCGCCAGATTCGGTCATGAACTTGACCTTCTTCGAGGGGCGTATGCCGGTGGCTGGGTTGCCGTTCAAGAAGTCCTGCATGCAACCTGGCAGGGGCACGTCGTCTGCTGGAGCGTCGGAGTGGTCTGACCTCCCATCGTCCATGAGGTCAGCGCCGCGCTTCCTAGCATCCGCGTCCTTGTCACTAGCGCCACGCCTCTTCAGAGGCGTCAGGTCCTTGGGAAAGGCGTGGCGTGGAATTGCCTCTGTTGGGTAGCGCATATCCCGAGGTAGTATCTCGCCCGATGCCACGCGTTCTCGGATGTCTTTCGCTAGGTTCACCAAGTCGAAGATGGCCTTGTTCTTCTTGACGTGCGAGGAGAAGATCTGGCCTCGAACCGCGTCGGGTTTGCGCTTATATGTGCCTACCTTGTTGACGGCGTCGGCCATGTCTTGCATGTCCGCCTGTGGGATCTGGACCGTAGCACCGGACCCGAAGCGCACCAGGCCAGACTTTCGGATGTAGGCGTTGATGGCCTCACATAGCGCACGACGCTCCGCAACCGACCAGTGGTCTTTGTGGTGGACCTGATTGTACATGGCGTCACGGCGACGTCGAATCTGATCGATCCACTTGTTGTACGCGTACATCCACGTCTTGGTGTTGGGATCAGGGTTGATCAGCATCTTCAAGTTGAGGTACATCTCCTCATACTTGTGCGTGGTTGCATTGAGGCGCCGGAACATGATCGTGAGGTCGAACACCTGGTCTGGACCTCCCTTCGGATCCTTGCGGACCCAGGTGTACGACGTACCTTGACGAATCCATTGGTTGGGAGCTTGCGCGTTCTTCTTGTTCTCCCGGATCTTCTTCTGGAGTTTGGACACCGTCAGGTCGGGGATGAAGTAGTACTTCGGGTCTCTGGAAGAGACTACACTCTCGTCCCTCACCGGGATAGCGTCCGTCTGCTCGTAGTACTCGCCCGTACGACCAGGGACCTCTACGCGGAACTTTGCAGTGATTTTGGTCGGGTTAGAGGCGTGTGGAACGAGCGTCTCGCGGTTGCACTTCAGAGCCTGGTTGACACCAGGCGGCACGATGTTCCCGATGCTCCTCATGTGGGTCGGCAAGCCAGCTGTAACGGTTGTAGGGTCAAAACCGGGAATGTCTGCGGGAGCAGGACCAGAACCGTTACTGGCCGGGTTGGCTGTCGGGTTGGCGCTGGGCGCTGGAGCAGGCAGGATGGGGACGTCCTGGGCCTGAGCAGCTGTTGGGATGGCAGTGGGTGCTGGAGCAGGCAGGATGCAGACGGCCGGAAGAAGTGTACGGGGAGCAGAAGCAACAGGCTGGGTGTCCGTCGCGGCAGTGTCTTGCTCGTCGGTGCCAGCATTTGAGGTAGCCTGCTCATCCTCGTGGTAGTCACCGTCCTGAGCGACCTCCCTATCGTTGTTGCGCGGCTGAGGAGAGTTCTCGCCATCGCCGGTGCTCTCGTCAGAAGGGACAACCATCGGGCTATCCGGGGTACCGTCGCCGTCGAAGTAGTCGCGACCAGACATCTGCGAAGGCAGAGAGGGTGGGTATTCGCGGGTATGTAAGGGGTCGGGAGGAGGTTGAGGTCTGCGGCGTTGAGGAGAAGGACGCTATGGTGGAAAAGTGAGAGAAGTTCGCGCGTGCAAGCTATACGAGCGGTGCAAACCTGTGAGCTTGATCTTGTGCCTTCTATGGAGGTCTTTGTGCGTCTTTTGTGAGTTTTGATGTGGTGGTTGAGCTCTGTGATGTCACTGTTTGCGGGAGTGAGGGCAGGGCGCGTGGGTAGATAAGGGCGAGGATAGCCGGCGTAGTAGAAGCACTGAGACAAGTCTTGGGTAATGTGAGTCTTGAGAGGTAGGCGAAAGTCACAAGCAATTGTCGCGGTGTTTGTTCTGGAGAAGGATTCCGAGGGGAAGTCGTCGAAGAAATGGTAAGAAGTCGGGTGCTAGCCTGATTCGGCTCTGGATCGTCATGGGGGGAGCCTTTCACAGAGTATACGACTGGCTAGACAGGGGAAAGGAAGTCGTCCGCGTTTCGACGCGCGTATTCACGGCTTGGAAGACTCCCGCGGCCTGCCAAAAGGTCATGGGACGTCAGTGAGGGAGTGCCACCCGGACGACGCTCAAAACCATCACGATATGTCAGAGGACGGCGGTTAATGAGAAGAGGCTATCGTACTCTCCAGCGCCCTTCCTCCAATATTGTGAGAATAGCCTGAGCCAGCTATCCCTAAGATTGGCTATTCCCCGTGGTCACCTGTCTCATCGACAGGACTGTAGTAGGCCAGGAGCTCTGTGTACAGCAGCTCCCCAAACTCTTGACTTGAGACATTCATATCAGACATTGTGTAGAACAACACCCTCCCTGAATCAGCAAACAGAGCTTGGTCTCATGCCACACCATTACAACAAAGCAGAGCAGCGCCATGGTTCAGACTTTATGTACCGAACTGTGAAATCATTTGGGTTGAGAGTAGCATTGTGGAGGAGATGGCGGTACATTTGGAGTTACAGAATGTTGCTGACCCGATCAGTGTCCTTAGCCTCCGCCCCGGAAATCCCAGCGAGGACTGCTTGCTCACCAATCGCAGTCTTGTCTCGCCCAGCAGTCCTCAGAATTATTGATTTCATCGAATTCATGGTGTTTCAGTATCACTTTACTCACGGTCCACGGCGTTATTGGTGTGGTCAGCGCAACAGCATGATCGCATGGCTGATATTCTCTCTTCTTTGTGCAAGATCGCAATGAGCCAAGCTTATGTTTTTAGGCCGGCCAGCATCATAATTAAGGGTGCGCGTGGAGGAGACCTCGTGTCGGAAGCCCATAGCTAGTCACCCAAGTGTTGTAATAGACATTGTGACAGCGTGAGTGGCTACAACGCTATGAAAACTTGCGATCACTGGCTTTGATATATGAAAAACTAGGAAAATGGACAAAGGGAATCCCATACATCTGGTTATTCTGCTGCAATACGTGAGTGAATGCAAATATTTTGTGTACCAGTGCATGATTACTGGGCTAGAAAACATGCCGTTGATACCACTCCTCCTGGACATTCAATTCTCGAAGTCGTTTAAAGAAAGCTACTACACGTGAAACTTCCTATAATTGCTTGTCTTCGAACGCGCAATTCTGTCTAATCCCTTTTCCTAATGACGATCGATCCTAAACGAGTACTTCCCCCATAAATGAATAAGCATGATGTGCTTATGTTCGAACAAAAATACCATGTCTTTACGTAGACAAATCAGCTTGATATTGATGATACTATAGCCATAGGTGATGGCGAAAAGTCTTCGGAATGCCGCAGTGTTTGAAACGATTGAACCTTAGAGAAGTCTAGTGCGCCAACGAAACTGCTACTTATGATGCTTGCATAGAAGCGCTTCTTTATTTCCAAGAGAACACGAAGAAGACGCACTCAATAGCTGTAGCAAGCTCGAAACCACGTGGCTTGCATGTATTGGTCCATTCTCTACACAAGTACCTCTGCTCATCGTTCCTCTGTGTCGCGCACACAACTTCCCTAGATGCGAAAATGACTCACAATGAATGTTAGGATGTGCGAGCAATGATGAGCACACATCATGTTCAATTAACATTCACATCGCTGCGTGGCTTCCTGGAGGTTCTAGGGGTATACAAGGTCAGCTTCAGCGGCTGCGATAACCACAGAGACAAGTACTCGCTAGGATACCGATCCTCCTTGCTCACTTCTTCTCCACTCGCAACCTGTTTCTTCACTGCCGCCGCCTTTGCTACCAGGGTCTGGACAGTAGTGACACCGACGGATTTCTTCGCGAATCGCTCAAGGTTCATGATCTTGGAGTCAACTTCCTGTCTACTCCTCCCAGAGGGCGTCTTTTTGGGATGTTCTTTGGCGCAGTCTTTCCCAAGAGCATCAACGCACGCTGTCACAACTTCCTTCCTCGCGTATACATCCACTCCCTTGACTTTGCAGTACTCATTGATACAACGGTAGATGCAGTTGACTTCTTTCTCTGTCCATCGATATTTCTGCTTTGGTGTAGCTTCCGGTTCAGTTTCGGAATCATTCGTTGCATCGGTCAGTTTGGCGCGCTTCCTCGGTGAGTCGTCCCTGTCAACCGAAAAGTCTGGAAGTGTCTCCAGGGTAGCCTCCCTCGCCCTCTTTGCAGCAGTTACGATTTCAGGGGTGGAAGGGTCTTCGAGCACCTCGGCCTCCAGGGCTTCATGTGCTGAGGGCTCCTCCATGCCTGCGGTCGATGCTCTCTCAAGATTCACATGGCCTCCACCTGGACGAACGGTGGCTTCGGTAACAAAGTCAGCCGTCTTGATGGCAACACTGAGCCTGAGCTCGGAACAAGATTTGCTCGACTTCGTCTCCTGATCGCGAATCGAATAAGTAGGGACGAGTTCGGCCTTCGCCAACCTCTGACTAGCCGACGGCATTGAGTAGAGCTCGGGGTACTCCTCTAGGACCGAATGGTTGAGGAATTTCCAAAGCTCGGCGTCTTGATCAGGTTGCGTAATGTCCTCTTCCGGTTTGCTGTCACCGCGCAATGCGCCGTATCTGTCGAGCATGTCTGGTGTGATCCTCACATGAGTGATCAGAAGTGGGTCATCCTCGGCATTGTTGCGGTTGCTGAGAGCCTTGATCGCTGAACGCTTTGCCGATACCATATGGTTTTTCTTCTCCTTGAACTCGTTTCGGTCGCGTGTAATGTCAGACACTGCAGTCGGTTCATTCTCGAGGGCGTCGGTGAAATCTCTAAAGGCTACAGTATCGACTACGACGACGGTTGGGCCAGCTGGTGTACTTGCCGCTGCAAATAGTAGGTCGTGATACAGCTGGATCCAGAGAAGCGCGCGTTCGCTCCAAGCGAATTCAATCATATCTTCATCGAGGGTATGGGGCTGCGGAAGAGGCTTCTGGTGTCTTGTACTGTGGTCCATACTGTTCGAGGGCCTGTGGAAGGTCTGTGATGTAAATCTGAAGGGTGGTTGAGTCCGAGGGAGTGATTGAGAGTAGGACTTGGTGCAGAGTGCGAACATATATAGAAGGGACAGAGATTGAAAATCTTGTACTAAACCTCTACAGGCTAGCCTGCCTTTTGTTGGGGCTCAGGGCATTGCTGTCACTTTGAGTGACGTCGGACAGTGCCAAATCTTTCACTGGGCTTTGCCGGCTATATAATCACTGTCGCCAAGCTGAATCAAAGTATTTCCAGATACATAGACGCGCTCATCCAGGTGATAACAGTCATGAACCATCGATGTCGAGAGGCAAATAGTCATTGTTCCCTGCATAGACAATCATTTGACTATGTTAACAGTTTGGGTGGCGTAAAACGAGTTCCATAGGAAGCTTCACGAGATCTGCATCAAGTCATCACACAGGCTGAGAATGATGGCAAGTTCATCTTAACAGGGTTGATTATTTGGGGATTTATGTGTATATGAATGTCCGTGTCTTCACTGACATCCCTTTGGCTGCGATCAGGAAAAAGCCCATCCAATTTTTCTCCTCAAATAATTCCCAGGCAATACTAATGAGTGAACGGCGGAAGACAATTTATTCGTTGTCGTTTCCCCCGGGCGGTTCTCATCATTTCAATTCAGCCAATCAGTTGGTAGCCACCCGTGAAGAAGGATATCTGAGCTCTTCTGGGGAAAATCTTCAACATGGAGAGCGGATGTCTTTGGCCTTTTTGACGAGGTCGAGGGATTTCTTCCCATGTTCTTGGTTTTCGATGCGACAATGCTCTTCTCACGCGAAGATCCCGTTGCTGCGAGGGCATCAAAGCATATTTGGTTCACCGCTTTCATTTCGAGTTTGTCGACCCCGTTCTTGTGGCACCACTCGTTGATAGTATGAAAGAGAATGTTGTGCTCCTCTTTACTCCACTTCTTCTTGATATGCACCTTACCCACGGCACTCTTCTTTGCCTTTACAACATCTTTCTGTTCAACGTTGGGGGATGCTTTCCGTTTGTTCGTTTTCGCAGGCTCAGCTACGGGACGCTTATTCAAGGGCGCTCGCCTTTGTGCGTTCGAAGTCTCCGCATCTTGACGTGGTGACTTTTGACCCAGCTGCCTTTCTGGTTGTATTCGGCGAGGGCGCCCCATAGTCGGGCAATCGCTGCACTCGCTCGTGGTCTGCATGAGGGCTATTATTCGCTTTCTTCGCTTTGCCATCTTTCATGAAGATGTCCTTGAAGACTAGAGTGATGCTGGAAGTGGAAGGGAGAGCGGATGAGGAAGCTGGCGCATTACGAGTGGAAAGCACTGTTGAGGGGCGCGTGCAGCCTGAGCCAGAACAGACTGCACTCGTGTTTTTCGTCACTGTAGTAGTGTTATGAGTATTGGGATTACCGCCATGGTCGAGGTTTTGATCACCTTTGCTTCCAAGGTCCTGGTTCTTCGATAGCGCAGAGTATAGGGCAGGATACTCCTTCCGGGCTGCAACGTTAAGAAAGTCCCAGACAATAGCGTTCTGCTCGATATCTTGTATCTCTTCGCTACGCTCGAGGCTCCCTCGCAGCTCCTTGTACTGCTGTAGCATTTCCGAAGTGATCGCGATTCGATCGATGATCTCCGCGTCTTGCCACTTTTTATACTTAGAGTTGCTCTTTATCATATCCACCCTCGTTGGGAGTAGGGCTTTGCGCTCGTGGAGGAATCGCTCCTGGTCATTTGCGAAACTCTCTGACTTGAAATGCTCGAGGAAATTTTTGTAAACGATGACGTCTGTCACAATGGCCAGCGGGCTGGCAGGTGTACGTGCAATGGCAAGGAGGAGATCGTGGTACAATTGAATTCCAAAGAATCGCCTCGGGGCTCAAGCTACAAAGCTTCTTCAATTCGGTAGACTGGCCTGAGCTGAACTGTGCCGGCTCATCTGAGTCCCGCATGTCGCCGCTAGGTTCTGTGGCTATTCTCTTAGTTCAAGTCAATATTGCTGGACGCGAGTTGAAATACTTGAGTTGCAGGGGAATTGGTAGAAGAGTTGGCTGTGACACTTACCTAGGTAGCGAGCAAGTGCTGGATAATGAGGCGCGCTCACCACTAGTTCATTTCCGGTCTGGGCCCATGCTGACTGCAGCTTAGCATTCACTTCGAATAGCGACAATTAATGACGATGACTCGTTATATTTCGAGCTAGGATGTGCTATCTAATTTTATCTTTCACCATGTAATGCCTGTACTGATACAAGTAACGACTGACAATAGTCCTAAGTCAAGTCATCTCCAGTGTGGACTGAACGGCTGTGGTAACACGTTCAACAATTTGGGCGTCGCTGCCCCGGCTGTAGCTCTCCAAAATATTCAGGATGTCGTCCATAGTATGTTGAGTATGCGTTCCCATGTCGCTCGCTCTGCTTTTGATCTGAATATCAATCCGCTCCGCACGCTCCTCACACCTAACTGCCCTGCGATACTTTGCTTTCATTTCGTCCTCCGTGTCAATTGCTTTCATCCACTCTAGCACAGTATGTTCTTTGACAAGGCGGCAGCGACCGAAAGTCCCTCTTAGGATAATCAACTTCTTGTAGGCCAGATCCTCGAAGTCCCGGATGAATTGCCGATAGGTTTGCTCGATACCGTCCTGAGTATATTTCTTCTCAAGAAGATCCAGTACGTTCTGGACCTTGACAGATGGGACAATCCCATAGTCTTCATGCAACTCCGCGTGTACTTCCTGGGCCTCCTGGAGTTTGTCGTCCATATGTCTATCGTGTATGGGCTGTCCCTATATCGAATAGCTTGAACGATCAGAGTGTTTGGAATGATAAATGTAAGTCTTACTGGGTGCCGGCAGGATATTTATAGGCCAAATACTGTCTATCCTGTTTGTCTGTCGCAATCACCAAGAACGTACGTCACGCTTCTAATCCTCGTCATGTCAAACTTCGTCTGAATACCAGTCACGTATGAGAGCCTATCTTTACTAGTTGCTGTTACCTAGCATCTCCATCAACTCTTGATAGGCTTTGAAGATATCCTTATCTTCGTATGATCCGTTTTTGATCATGTCTAGTGTTTTTGCCTCCTTCCACGGGGGTAACACGCCAATCTCTGCTAGCATTCTTGCATGCAAAAGCCGCGCACGCCTGCGATGTGGGCATGAGCACTCTTCGTAAGACTGTTTGAACAGGTCACCGTCATCATCGCTCTCATCATCGTCTCCTCTAGTGTCACTAGACTCCCCATCATCCATCCGCTTCCCCACCTGATCAGGATTTGCGGTTCCCGATAGTTTGAAGTTTGGGTCTCTTAATTGCTCCTCGTCCTCATCTCCAGACAGCTGGCCGGCCACGTTTTCGTTTTGATGACGGGTTCGGCGAGTAGTTCTGGGCTTTTCGCTCGTCGCCGTCGTGGTCTGGAAGACGTTGTGTCCAATGTCTTGGTCATCTGGTATGCGTTTTCCGGCCTCGTCCAGTACAAACTCCTCGGTTTCAACTTCTCCATCGGTCCAATGGCCACTCCATTGCTCATCGCGGTCACGGCCCACAACAGTGCCGTCAGGGTTTCGATCGTACACGAATATTCTTCCTGGCTTGTTAACCGTCTGCTTCTTGTAGCGTATTTTGTGTGGCTTCGTCAATTCTGGGTCGCCCTTCTTTCTGTACTGAGGCAATCTAACTTTCTTGATGCTTTGTACGTCTGAGTCTTCATCTTCGTCTGAGTACGTAATTAACCCATAAGACTGCGCTCCTTTTCTACCGGTTCTAGAAATTGTATTGCCCCAATCCGGAGATTCAAACGAGGTCGGCCAGTCGAAGCTACTTTCTGCATTGCCGTGGTGCAGTAGGTGATCCTTTGGTCGTAGCTTTAGAGTGCGGCGATCCAAGGCGTACTTGGTCGCTGTCTTTTTGCCTGCGTATTCCCCGTCCACTTCTCTTGAGTCACTTTCGCTGTCTGCACTTTCGCGACCTTCTTTAGTTCTTTTCTCCTCCTCAAAACGAGTTTGATCTATCGCCCATTCAATGGGTGTCATCCCGTCTTTCCGCCCAAGCTCATTGTCTTTCTGCCTCTCTGACCTACTGCGATAGTCTTCCTCCACTTCGATAGGGTCAATGACCTTGCGTTTCTTCCTGGGAAAACGTTCTTCAAGATGTCTCAGCCGTTTAGCGTAAGGTGAAGTGCCTCGGGTGGGCATTGTGTAGCGATGGGCATCCTCTGGCCCCACAGCAGTGGGCATTCTTTTACGATAGCCCATGTGGAAGCCTTTAAAAACCTTAATGAGTTGTAGCACCCAATTCAAGTGGTCGGAACTGTATTGTCCAGAAGAATCAAACTCAAACCTATTGACAAGGTCCGCGTTCTTTGTCCCTCGAATCGGATTCTTCCTCTTCTGCTTTTCCTTGTGTGTCATTGCTCGGCGCTCTGCGACAGTCTCAAGTTTCTGCTTGAAACCCTTGCCTTTGTTCTTTCTATTCCAGACACTTTGATAGTATAGAAAATCTTCCCATGCCGCCTGCGCTATACGATACTCTACAAACTTACGCCAGGTATAGTGCGTCGCATGCAAATTGACCCGGACTTCCTTCTGACTTTGCATACCCGTTTCCATCTCCTTCCGTTTCTCCTCATCATATATTTCGCCAGTCTGTATGTCCGTATACACCTTGTGCTGTTCCCACTCCCGCTTCACGCCCCGGTTAAAATCTTTGACCAATTCCTTTGTCGAAGTGTCCTGAGCTAAAGCTTGCGACTCGCGCAACCACGTCTTTAAGCTCTTTTTCGTTGCTTCCATCCATTCCAGAAACTCCTCATCAGATTTCGGCTCTCGAGGCCAATTTTCTTTCCTCAAAGGATTTACGAGTTTCATGGGTGGGTTCGCAGCTTCGGCAGGCGGGGTTTCATTTCGATCGCCTTTGCGTTTAGATCGAGTGTTTTGTGCCATGGCTTTGATTGTTTGAAACGGGTCAACGGGTAAAGGAAAACTGTAGTTGAAGATGTAGAAGAATTTTTTTTGCTCAAAGTCACTCTATGATAGAAAAGAGCCACTGCGATCGATAAATGTCATGTAATTTGATCCTTTGTTCCGTTTCCGTCAACCTGAACAAAAGAATGGCTTCGAGGCCTGAGGCCAGACGCCGCTCTAGGTGAAGGGTCTTTTCCCGCGGCTTTGTTCAATAAAACAAAGCCTTTTCCAGTATTATATATGCAGATCAAGTTAATTGTAATGACCGCGACCACTGGGTCGCTGAAACGGGTCATAGAGAACAAAGCACAAACTCAGCACTTGATAGGATTGGAGGCAAATTTACCTTACGAGGTACATCCCTAATTTCTGAAAGTGCACCCCTAATCGAGCCCAAATACAATCTCGAGGATTATGGTAAATACTCGACAGCAATGAATCTGCAGGTGCTCATCCCCGCGATCTGTGCTCACTGCTATGGCCAATAGTCCCCTCAAGAGGACTCGTCGCCTGTTATGTCCGAGTCATCGTCTTCGATGTTATGCTGAGGCTTCTTCTCCCCTTCGGCAGATTTGTGGAGAGAGTAGACCTTATCGATCGCTTCCTTGCTCGCGTCTTCCAATAGTAGGTCTCGGGAAAGTAATCGGCGCTCTTTCACAAGCTCTTCAATTGAGCCGGTATAGCCAAGAGGTGGTACTACCGCTATGCCACGCAAACCATTCACTGCCGCAGCTCCATCGACGCGTCCTGACTTGTTGTGCCATTCTTCGGCCTTGAAGTCGATCTTCTTCTTCAAGTCCCTAGGCCAGGACATGCGGTTCATATCAGGCAAACCACGTCTTTCGATCCTCTTGTCAAGATCATCCCCTGCGGTTTTGATCCACGAGCCGTCGAGCTGCTGATCATCGTCTTCTTTCAAGTACCTCTCCATTGCTTCTTCGTCGTCTTCTGGAATATCGGTGAATTTGTAACCGGCTATGACCAGACGATTGACCTCTTCGACAGGAGTCACTTTGACTGGGACCTCCCCCTTGAATACGTCGGTAGGTGATCTACTCGAAGCGGCGATCAACAAATTGTTCATAGAAGATGTCCTCTTGGTCGAGTGTGAGGGGAACTGATGCTTCATATGCTGCTGGTCCTTCGGCGCTATCGAGAACATCTGTTGGCTCAGAGATAAAGGCATTCGTGCCTGCTGAAAGTTTCGACTTCTTCTCCTCAGTGTGACCAATTGTGGCCTTCGGAATTTTCTTGCCGGCTTTCTTGAGGGGAGCAGGCGTATCCTTGGTGACTTGCTCCACTGCTTTTGTCGCACCAGACTTCGCGATGACTGGCCCATGCTTCAGATGTGCCTTGATATCATCCTACCGTGATATCAGGGATCCATGCGTTATCGCCGTCGTCGTTTCAATCGGTTCTTCATGATATCTTTACGCAAAGCCCATTGATTAGTTTGTTTGTGGGGCGGCGGATGTACGCGTCGAACGAGCCCCATTCTCGATCTTCTGCCACAAACAAATTAGTACCTTTCGTATCTGTGACGCTCTGTCGACCCTCATTGAAGAAGCTGTTGAGAGAATTGAATACTTTTCTCGCATGTGGAAGAGATGCCTGGCTTTTGGAAGCCGCCGCATCGTGAAGCTTCTGATACATAATCTCGAGGTATGCCTTTTCTTCTGCTGACCAGGGCTTGTTGGTTTTCTGCTGTTCTGGCTTGCCAGCTATGGTCATGGGCGCGGGTGTAGGAGAACTGTCGGATTCGGCTGGATCCTTCGACTTAGACTTGCTTCTCGTTGCACGGCTTACTGCGTCTGCTGGAACCTCTAGCCCATTCGCTGGCTTCTTCCTTTTGGCAGGTCCTCCGTGAGTGTCTTTGGTTTTGCGTTTGGTTGCCATCGTCAATTAGCGGTGTATCGCGCTTGCGTAGGTGCCAAGTGTGTGGTCTGTGATTGTTTTGATAAGTCTCGGTTGAGTTCAGTTGTGTTAGAAAGTCTTGTGTAGATTGTACTCGCTGATTCGGAGACTTATCTAGCAAGTGGAGATTGCCCCAATTCTTTCACTGTTTTTAGGTATCCCAGGTAGGGCCATGATTGACCATCCACCTCAACTGGAGAGGCAGATTACAATGTGAGGACATCAAGAAACAAAGGAAAAAACTCAAAGCAGAAAGAAACTTACAATGGCATTGTCAAATAAAGTCGTGAGTTTAACAATGCTGTGTACATTGTGATGATGTCGCCCCTATCATGGACATAATGCGTTATCTTGGATAACTTAAATTAGATCACGAAAATGACAGAGCTGATCGTTTTTCGTCGCCGTCATTGATTCTTCCCGGAGTTGTACCTACAGTAGCTGATCTTGCTTCCAGAATACACACACTTCCCTGCCCTGGAGCAATACTGCTCTTGGGAACTACGCAGTGATCCGGATTCAGCACCTAGATCAGACAAGATAGATCTAAATGACTCAATTCAAGCATGCTGATTAACAACAGGTGCAGCTGTGGCAACAAGATTGTTAGGTCCGCCACAGGAGATGATGTTTCTTGCCGTTGTCAAGACAGCAGAGCGATATCATCGGTGTCACAGTCGTAGGGTTGCGAATTACCTCGTCTATTAACATATGAGGCACGACCTTTAAGAATTTCAAGGCTGTAGGACCGTTTGGAGATGATGCAATAGCATCTGGAAGCATTGACCACCATAGTGCCGTGATTCGATCTACTGTGCGCCAGACGATGTTTTGACCAGCTGTCATTGTTTACCGCCGGTCAACAAATACGAGCCAGCCAATGTACTCGGGATTAGAGATAGATGTTTTGAAAGTCGTGCTAGGTAGTGCTAAGAAGATGTGTAAGATTGCCCGTCTAGGTTGGACAATGTGAAATCGCGTGTCTAGAACTGGACAGCACATGGCCTTGACCACACGTATCTTGCAGAAATTGCGTATTGCGAAGATAAGGATGTACTAGTACTAGACGCGTATCTTCGAGGAATGCTGCGATCACATTGTGAAGATGGCGTGCGGCGACCCCGCTTTCCCGCAGACAGGAGCGTCTTTCCTGATTGGGGTCGACCACTATGACTCCTTTACGCTGCGCACCTGAACAATTATAACCTCTTAAGCTATCAAGTCTTGCTGAGTTTTAGATTTTATTGTACATCTACTCGCAATTGAAGATACCCAAGCACAACAATGGCTTCCCCAGCCCTCGACCATCTGATCCTCTTCGTCCCAGTTGATCCAGAAACGAATCTTCCCAAAGTACCAACTTTCTTCGCTAAGAACTTTACCCTCACGCCAGGTGGTGTGCATGCCGATGGAATAACATCAAACACGCTCATCCTGTTCGCAGACGGCTGCTACATCGAACTCATCAGCTTCATTGATCCTCCGAAAGCTGCCTCCCACTGGTGGGGTCCAGATGCAAGTTTTGTTGGCTGGAAAGATTGGTGTCTTACCAATTCTAAAACTCCGGAAGAAAACTACAATAGCATCAAGGAGACACACGACAAGCCGGTACATGGCGGACGAAAGCGCGCTGATGGCGTTGACGTGAAATGGGCAGTCACGTTTCTGAAAGGCGAGAACGGAGGCCAGAAAACACGAGGAAGGATACCATTCTTCTGTCACGACATCACGCACCGCAGTACTCGTGTACCGCTGTCAAAAGAGAATACCACGCATCCGTGCGGTGCATTGGGTATCACACAACTCTCAATTATCGCACGAGACCAAGACTTCCTCGATGAGACGAAGAAGGCTTTAACTTCACTCCTGGGCGAGGTAGAATTGGGAGCGCCTTCTTTCCGGGCTGCGAGGGTGCGTGATGTGGAGGGCTTAGACAGTGGAGCTAAGATTGCGGTGCGTTTACCGCATGGCGAGGAAGAGACCGAGACCGTGACCACGACAGGCTTTTGGTTCGGGGACATATGTCTGGGTGTTCAGGCGACTGGCGAACATGAGCCTGGAACGAAAATGAGGCTGGATCTCGATGCCGAGGATGTGAGAGGCGTATCGCTCGAGTGGGTTTAGAAAAACCACCGCACACCAGTAGCTTTGCGAATAATGATCTGTATGTGTACGATGTGCAGTATTTAGAGCATTTTATGAGGTTGAGAGCCCTACCAAGAAAACACGTCCGAATTCGCTCACTCAAGCATCGACCTATCAGAGCATTCCCCACATTAGCCTCGGCAAGGCGCGTTTCACGTCACCTTTCCTTCCAACACAACACCACGATAAAGCCATCATGTCAAAGCCCTCGCAGCCATACGTCGTTGACTTACAGTTTCGGGGCCATGTCGAAGGATTGACCTACTTTGACGAAGAGTCAAAGCCACTCTGTCGATACTTTGGTGGCGTGCCGTATGCTCTACCTCCGCTGGGTCCGTTCCGATTTCAAAAGCCAAGATCGTTGCCAACATGCTATCGCTATGGCACGAGAGTGAATCCGGCTCGATTCACAGGGAGCTGTGGCTTGTGTCCGCAGCCTGCTCCGCGGGGGACGAATGGAGAGAATGATTCGGAGTGGGATGAAGATTGCTTGCAGAGCAATGTTTGGGTTCCTGTTGGAGAACCACCCTATTGGAGGTAATTGATTGAACCTTGATGTTTTGTTGAGCTACTAATGAATGGGCAGGGTGGCCAGTACTCTTTTGGATACGTAAGTAAACAATCTCAAATTCACATGTCATGTTCTTCATTGCATTCCGGATCGTAAATCTACCAAAGAATCGTCTTCGCGTCTTTATTCTGAGATTCATCGGATGAAACACATGCTAACACAATTAAGATGGTGGCTTCCTCCAATTTGGCTCACCTAATGGCCTCGACTTCCGTGCTTTCCTCAGCTCCTCTCCTTGCAAATGCATTGTCGTGGCACCAGCCTACCGTCTCAGTCTCTTTGGCTTTCTCGGGTCTGCCACCCTAGCCTCACTCCCTGACTTTGATACCAATTTGGGCTTCTGGGACCAACGTATGGCCCTCCAATGGACGCACGAGAACATCAGCTACTTCGGCGGTAACGCTTCCAACATCACTCTGGCCGGCTACTCCGCAGGGAGTCATTCCGTATTCCACCAACTAGCCTACGACCTAGGCATGCAAGGCAAGAAAGCCATCGTGAAGCGAGCAATGATGCTAAGCAACGGCCCCGGCGTCCAACCCAAGACCCTCGACGAAGCACAAGACCAATACACCTCTCTGCTCACCGCATTAAACATCCCCCTCTCTCTCCCTCCCAGAGACCAACTCTCCCTCCTCCGCTCCACACCCGCCAAAACCCTCATCCGCGCCTCCAACACCCTCAAACTCCACCAATTCCGCGCCGTAACAGACGCCTCCTTCGTCCAGCCCAACCTCCTCGCCTCCCTCAGCAACGGCTCCTTTGCATCCCGCATGGAGTCTCGCAACATGCACCTCCTCCTCGGCGAGTGCAGCGACGAGCACTTCGTCTACGGGACATGGCATCCACCCAGCCCAGGCTATGACGCCATGCAGAACCGCCTAGCAGCCGATTATCCGGATGTTCTGTCTGCCGCGTGCTCATGCAGCACTACTTCCCCTCGGGAAGCCTGCCCACCCAAGTACACTTCCTGGCAGCAAGCTTTCGGACATGTATACGCCGACGTGCAGATCCACCACTTGCTGCGCGGCATGGTGAAGGAACTCGTCCACAGCGGCGCAGGCGAGCTGGTACATCGGTATCGCATCGAGTGGCGCGCGGGCTGTGTGGATCAGATGTTGCCCCGGGAATGGGGCGTTACGCATACGAGTGATATGCCGATTTGGTTCTGGGGGAATGGGGCGCGGCTCACGGGTGCGGAGGAAGAGGTTATTAAGACGGCGTTTCAGGAGCCGTTGAGGAAGTTTCTTGAGGGTGGAGAGATGGGGTGGGGTGCGAGGGGGATGGAAGTGAGGACGCTGAAAAACGATGGGAGGGTCGTTGTTGAGGATGATGAGGCGAGGATTAAGGAGGGGTTGGAGCTTTGGGAGAAGGTGAAGAATGTTGGCAAGATGGGGGGCGGCCAGGGAGTTCAAGATGTAATTGGAAAGATGATGTCTGGTGTTCTGTAAATAAAGGCAATACCACGCTGCCGACCCACGTTGCTGTCCATCCCATGGACTCAGTACGTACCTTGTCATGTTTACCTGACTATTCCGGTGCCACCCTGCATGGCTCATATTTGCACGGCGGGGTTCGAACAACACCTCTCTACTACAGCGTAACCAAAATAAACCCCCATTTCATCCAGAAGTCCGATGAAAAGAGACGTGGTACCTTCCCAATGCGGCAAGTACTAATTTCAGGTGTCGATTATAGCAATTTTTAGATCGAAAACAGAAAAATGTTCCTGGCAAAAGCAGCACTGACAGCCTCTAGCCTCTAGCCTCTATCCTACATCCTGCATCCTACATCCTACATCCTTCCTGCTACAATCCACACTTGATGTTTGTACTTGCCCGATTAGGAAGGTACCATCTCTCTCTGAGCCATGCTATGAAATCTTCTATGCATGAGGTTGAACACCACATCGTTATTTCGCTTGACCTGCTACATACTTCACACAGACAAAACAACTGCCTGTCGCAACAAACCATAGAATATTCAACCTTGGTATAGACATATAAAGCATAAACATAGTTGTATATATAAATCTGCGCAACACCTGCTTTCGCCTCAAACATAGAAACGCCAGGAAAATGCGACGCTTGATATCATCCCTCCGTTTGACAACTACCCGTGGGCGAAGTCGTGCCGTTCCCTTCCACCGTGCGCCCCAGTCTGATATATCGCCTATATGCGTCGGAAGTTGATCGTAAAAGTAAAATGTCTAAATGTAATCCCTCTCTGACTCCTGCCCCTATCCAATGTAGCTCTGAGCAAATTATAATATATGGCGGTAACAGTGGGTGTGGGCATATCCACCGCCAGTGTCTTCGTGATCATAAAATTCTTTCATAAATGCGCTTTCGGCAACTTTCCTTATCTGGGTTAGTTTGCGCTGAATCCCTTGTATTTGTTTCCCACCCCGGGTGTCCATTGTGGTTGTATGCGGTGCAAGCTGCAGTGGTGACAAACTGATTTGCAGCTCTGGCATGTCGTTATTCAGGTCTTCGGTCATTTCAACGTTGTTCTCGTCTTCGGTGTCGTTGTCAAAAGCCTGGTGATGTGGGCTCGGTCCGCTGGCACTGATAATCGTGATGGTGCCTGATTCTTCCACAACACCAAATTCTGTCGTGACCGTGATGCTGTCCGGACTCGCTAAAGGAAATTCACTTCCGCTCGGGTTCGGTTCCAAGAAGTTGCTGTCCGAGACACGATTGTCGAAGCCGGCAACCATGTCTTGTACATACAATGCGGAGAAGAACTCGTTCATCGCGCCTGCAAGTTCGTCGGCTTGGCCGCGCTCTTCTCTGTCTTTTTCTAGTTTGGCAATGGCGCGAAGTTCTGCTTCTTTCTTGGCTCTGAGCTCGGCTTCGAGGCGGCATTTGGCACGGACGGTGGGCTTGCGCGTGCAAGTTGGGCAGTGATAATTCACCGTACAGAAGGTACACGTGCAAGTCGGAGATGCTGCGGCACATTGCTAGTTCATGTCAGTAGATTGCCACGAAAGTGAGAGGGAATGACTTACATCGCAGACCAAGACCGCACACTCCGAACACTCTTTGAGAATGCCCGGACATTGCGGCCTATTGTCTCCTACCGGGCGTGGGTACTGGCAGAAGTATGCCCCACACCCTTCCCATTGAACGGGATGTCTTGGATTGCATGGCAGTGGAAGTGGATTCGTGATTGAGTTCGGTATTTGTGGTCGAGGCGCCTTCTGCATTGCAGTCCATGATTCGGCAAGGCGCCCTCGCACACCGGACACACTGAATGACCGTGGCCGGGCCGAGCTGACAGGTACGAAAGGAAGAGACGAAGTAACCGCGAAAGGATCGTTTGTCAGCGTTGAATTGAAGGACGACGTGGTCGACATCTCGATCGAGCTGGGTATACTGGACGCAACGAGTATCTGTGATTGTGACATTGGCGTTTCCGAGGACTCCGACTCATTGTCTGCGGTTAGGAACAGATCCTGTTGTGACGCGGTGGGTGTCCGTTCCGGATCAGGTATAGAGGCTCTGTTGGGATTGAAATCAGGTATGACCAGTCGCTGCGGAGGCTCGTTGTGAGTTCGAACGTGGTCGCGCTCCGTCTGCATGTCTCGATAACCACACTTGCGGACTTTGAGCGCCCTGAAGTCGTGTTCTTTACATATTGGATTCTTGCACGCTCGACAGGACACCTTCCATCTAAAGCTCCGGTAGCAATCTTGACACAAGCCCCGTAGACATGTTTGCTGCTGCAGATCTAATGACTCCTGCTTGAGATATGAGAGCATATCGACATCTTCGCCGAGAACATATTCATACAGCCCATTGTTCTTCAGTTCGCGAATGTAGTCGACCGGCCGTAACTGGTTGCTGAAGTCTGGATCCTCGAACTGCTTGGTCCGTGGCAATGGTGCTGCTCGTATCTTATCAGCGCCCCGGCCGCCTAATCCAGTACCTAGCACGGCTATGCCGCCGCCACCAGAGAATATAGGCTCCAGGCAGCACCAAGACATGTTCAGCTTCGGGGGCTCGCGATTTGGTTGGAGCCCAGCAAGGCCGTTGTTGAGGTTGCCGCCGTCTTCAGAGTCGGAAGAGTCGTCCTCGTTCGCGCTCTCATTCATCAGATTGGGTGATCGTGTTGCGCCGGGAGCCCACCAGAAACGGTTATGCTCGGCCTTCTCGTCGGCGTTTCGGTCTTCGAGCGAGGAGAATGACCCAGATGCCTGTCCGATTGTGCCACCTAGTGTAGAGCTGTTCCCAAACGCCAGGTTCGCAAAGTGTCGTGTCTTTGCCCGCTTCCGTGGTATCGGTCTGTTGAATGCACAGCTCGCGCAGAGCGTCTTGCGACAGCCCATGCAGTGCATGCGAACGCTGCAGGACTCGCAGCGTTCCAGAATGATGTCGCTGCACTGGGCGCACTTGACCTCCTCAACGAAGATGGTGTGGCTCTTCCTCAGATGCGCGGGCACGTGTTTGCCCTCTCCTTGGAAGTGGCCGTTCTCTGTGCCCAGTGGCTCGCCATCCTGTCCGGTTTCTGATATCTCCCACAGTCTGCCATCGTGGTCGCCCAGGGTCGATGTGCCCTCGAACGGCCCTATGCGGTTGCTCGACCTCCAGAGCCTGTCAAACGGCACCCAGACCTCCATGTTCTGTGGCCCCGCTCTCCCCGCATGGTAGTCCTTTCTCCGAAAGCAGCGCCCACCGGGACTCGGGCACCACGCCGTGTCTGTCCATATTCCCAATTGGTGGCATATCTCGATGAGCTGGTGCGTCGGGTCGGAGTCGGAGTCCCTCCGGATGAGAGAAGAGGGCAGATACGGTCGGCGGCGGTGGTGGCGGCAGCGGTAGGTGTAGAGGCTCTTGAGCGCGAGGTCCTTTTGTATCCACGGCGCATCCTTGAGCGTGTAGGGCTCGAGGAAGGGCACAATGTGGTATTTGATGGAGACGTTCTTGCAGCCGCGTACGGACAGGTGCTGGAGGGTATTTATCCGCGGCGCAAGCACGCTCCCCACCAGCGCGATGCCCGTGACGGCCGTGTTGCAGAGGTCCAGGCTCGTCAGGCGCGTGCCGTTGGGCGCAATGATCTGCTTCAGCAGGGCGTCAAACGAGTAGGCCTTGGAGGCGCGCTCTCTGCTGTCGGGCGTCTCGTTGCCCGGCGAGCCCACAGTGACGGCGGGCTGGGGCAGGCGGAACGAGAGCGTCTTCCATGCCAGCGGGTACTTGCGCAGGAAGGCGCGCAGGTGGCGGGAGGTGTGGTAGAGGTCGAGGAGGGCGACGGTGGGGATCTGGGCCAGCAGCGACTCCAGGACGGGCGGGTAGGAGGTGATGACCGTCTCAAACAGGCTGAGGGGCGCATCCTGCCTCTCAGGCTCCTTCCCCGCCCTCGTGGTCGGCGTCGCAGTGCGGGTGAAGGCGAGGGCGCGGTCGCGGGCATGTTCCGAGTCCCAGAAGAGGTCCGTCTGGCTCTGCTGTTGCGTGCTCATGCTTGCCAGTGGCGGCTCTGGCAGTTGGAGGCTCTTGGCCAGGTCAGGCCCTACAAGGCAGTCTTGTCGAACGAGACGGCAGGGAAACATGCAATCGAGACATGCAGAGGAGAGGACGAGGCGTCTGCAGCGCCGGCAGCAGTGTCGGAGCAGTGGTACGGGCGGGAGAAGCGAGGTGGTCGCGTGTGTGCCTAGGTGGATGTGGATGGTTGATAGCCACCCCCAAGCCCTCGCCTGCAGGGAGCGCGACACAAGGCGTTGGCGTGCGCATCGGCCTGCCTTCGCCCGCCCATGTCCTTCACGCCTCACCGCCGCCTATCGCGATGCAACCTTAATTCCCGCAGATCCCTTATTGCTCTGGTTATCGAGGCCTGCCTGTTTGCGCGACATGCTCACCGGTTGCAGCTTCCGTGCTGGTCGAATGCACGTGTCGCCCGCCCTATCAGATGGCGGCACATCACAGCGATTGACTTCACAATACACTTCATCGCGCGTCTCAGGTGCGACACGTAGCTTTCGCGCCGCCAGTTGCACTTGTTGGCGCACATGAGCCATCATTTCCAAGAAGAAAAACCGTGACTGGCAAAACGCGCTTGCTATCTGTACGACATTGGCCATCGTCGGCCAGCAATTATCCTGCCCCTTGCTAAACTCAAATGACCTTTGCCACGCGCCGCGGCCGGGATATCTCTCGTTCCAGAAGACTGCAGTCCCGAAATCAAAACGCCAAAACTACCCGCTAAAGAACAAGGACCCTTGGCCCAACCATGCCACACTAGGAAATGCTGCAGCTGCATATGCAGATCGACTTTAGTATGCTGTTGAAGCAGTAGGACGACCCTCCAATGCCCAGAACATCGAGGTGCTCAAAATACCCAATTGCCCTCCAGGTCCCTATCTTCGAGTCCATCAAATAGAACAATATCCCAGTCGAGGCCCACCTCGTGTCCTTTCTCCAACGGCGGCCACAGCGCATTGCTAACAAAAGAAAATACTGGTAGATGCTGACCAGTGGCAGTAGCGTTCATCTTTTTGCCCGTCTCGGAATCGAGGTCGAAGTTGGGCCTCACAGGCAGCTTCTTGTAGTCGAACTCAATGGTGCCGAAGAAAGGGATTGTCAGACGAGCTTTACCGGCAGGTTGTCTGCTTGGGTCGAGCGAAGACAGCATCTTCTTGAGTACGACGGCGCTGCGTGCGGCAATCTTCTCCCGCGGACTCGCCTTGGCCAGCTTCTCCATCTCACCAATGAGGCGGCAAAGCATGGCAAAGTCCGTACCCTTCATCTTCTGCACCTCGCTCTTCTCCTTGGTTCCCAGCTCGATCACAATGTCCAGCGTCAGCGTTACTGCGGCGATGAACACGCCAATCTCAGCAAATCGACAGCAAGCCTGAGTTATGTTTGCGTTGCGCAGGGCGAACCACCTCATGAGCATGTTCCGACTGGCTTGCAGAGCTGTGACCTTGGAGTATTCGTACCGACCATCTCTGGGAGCCCGCAAGAGGTATGGCAAGTGAATAAAGACCTTCATTTCAAAATGCCACATTTGCACCATCAATCTTTCTAGCGTCGCGTAAGACTCTGGGGACCGCGCAGTCGATGGTATGTTTGGTACCTCCCAGAAGTCTTTCGGCATTTTTTTCATGCTGGCCTCCAGCTTCTCGTCGAGTGCAAGGGCGGAGGCGTATCCCTGTGGCGAAATATCTCGGTCAAGTTCGGCAACCTGCCTCGCCAGCTTGTTGATGTTGGACCTGTGATGTACCTGTAGCTCTGCGTCTGCTGGAACTGGGTAGTCGTCTGCTGCGAAGGGAAGACGCAGGTGTACTCCAATGTATCTATCCAGATCAACATAGGTGCGCCATATCATCTTTGCGTTGGTGATTGCTGGAACCGGTGGATTCAGGTCTGGTTGCGCGATGATGCGATGGAAACCCATGAGGTGAGCCAAATTCAGACCTCGTCGGATGATGAGCCATGCTTGCCTTAGATTTGCAGAGTTCATGTGGAAGAGCGCAAGCAGCAAGAGTGTTTCGAGGCCATGGAGAGTCAGCATAAGTTCGTCTGAGGAAGTGATCAGGGTGGTGACGTTGGTAACATAGTTCTGCATGGTAGCATCCAGAGACCAAATATTGGCAAAGCGAGACTGGTCGAACTCGGGTGGAAGGGAGTTGATGCATATGGCCAGATGAAGCAACGTCCGAGCTACAATAATGGCCCGCTCTCGACCAATGGCAGCCATGTTCAGAGCATACGACTGGGCATCTCTGTTGACATAGATGTCGCGAGAGGCCTTGTATATGCCGTCCAGGATCATCCACCCATTCGATGATTCAAAGATAATGTCTGCATCATGCTGCGATGGTAACAGGGCCGCCAGCGACCGCTGTACAGGGTCAAAATTCGGATTTGGTGCATCCTCCAGGTTGCGTGGTAATGTGCGAATGGAGGGGGCAGACGTCCAATTTTGTGCGCCAAGCTGTCATCGTAAGCAACACGATATATAGCCTGATTACAAACAACTTACAATGCCGTCTCCTAGTGAGGAGATACTCTGTGCATCGAAGTGAATCTTGGGCAGCCCGGGAAGTGACTCTTTGTCACTTGATTCCACAAGGGTGGGACTGTGTGGCGCTTCTGCTGCGAAGTTTGCCAGAGAGGTTTTTCGACAGACGAACTTTTCAAAAAGCTGTTCAAGTTTGCATAGTCGCTCTCCAATATGCAAAGAGCAAGTGTTATTTTGGTCTACCTTTTCAGGTCCAAAACTGGCGATTGAGCTGGCATCCACCGAGTTGGCTGGCTCCACCTTGGGTTTCTTGCCTAGGTAGAGTTGTTAGTATAATGTACCGTCTTGATACACTTCCTATCTCGAGGATTGATCTCACATTCCCAGCACGCCCGGCGCATTCCCTTCATAGGCCTCTTCTTAGTCACCTCAACTTGTTCCATGATGCCAAAGTAAAAGGTCCGACTACCGGCAGACTCTACTCAAGTCGTTTCACTGTATGTTGATCGACGCATACCAACTAAAGAGAGACATGGTGCTTTCATAGTGGGGTGAAGGTGCACAGTTGCGAGGCGACTTGCTGTTGCGGTGTCAGCCGGTCGTTGTTCGGCCGGCCTTTCGTCCGCATGCATCGGCGGGCTAAGTTAACCGCGGGATGGGTCGCCCGGCAACTTCGTAACCAGATCTGCATTTGTAAGAGAGGGTTGATCTGTGGCCGAACAGTTCCGATACTAAAAGTGTGCTATATGTCAGAATTCGTCGCTAGATAAAGAAGCGATCTCGTCACTGCTTGCATCTCTCCAAGCACAGGTTTGGTAGGACGAGATCTGGCTCGGTATGGAACGATAGTAACTCCGGCTGAGACAAGATTACTCTCGCTCTGACTATCTCCGCTTCGCACGTAATCCGTACAAAAAGGTGCCTTGCATAAGTACAGTGGATGCTTCGGTCAGCACATCCAATTTGCCTTCCTCAATGGATTTTGAACCACTAATCAGTGGCGTTTCGGGATGCATCGGCGCCCAAGTCTTGGAGCAAGCGCTCCGTACTTCATCCATCTCGCGCATAATTGCGCTGTCTCGAAGACCCTTGCCTGGACTTGACTACTGTGCAAAACTGGAAGTAGTGGTACTGGAAGACTTCACACAATATTCGGACGATGTGATTCCAGGATGTCTGGAGCGGATGGCTGCATGTGGTAAATGAAAGTTGGTGCTGCCGCCCAATGACTGCCGATACACAAAGGTGTATGACAACAACCGCCGATGATCCAGTGCTTGAGCCTCAGTATCCAAAAGCTTTTGCCAATTCTTACGCGCCCACTTTATCTGACGGCAAACGATTCTGATACCTACATCTGACAGGCGCAATAGTAGAACGCGACCAAGCGAGACCGTTGTGGCCGAAGAGCAATGTGGGGGAGTGAAGGTCTGTTGGAGTTCTTTACAGACCTTCACTTTCATGGTGTTCGACTAGGGACCGGGGCATTGATCCCACATAGGGCCAAGGAGAGCTCCAAATGATCCACTTCGCAAAGGCATTGATAGTAACTGGCCGTCGTTTTACAGTCATCGCACGCCCTGGAATGGTAGTCAAGCGGGGCACTTGGAGTGGGGAAATTTCGGTAATGTTGGCAGGTGCTTCGGGCTCATTCATCAGGTCAGACGAGCTCGCGCTTGCCCTGATTGATGCAGTGATACACGGTAGCGAAGAACTGCTGTTACTCCCAGTGCTGCTGTGACATGGTCGCGAACTTGTGGCAGCTATGTGTGACAGCCACTGATTGCGTTGTGGCCAAGAATACTGCGGTGCGAGCTCGTTGCAAAAGTATCGTTAGTCTACTGAGAAGGGGACATTGTGGCTAGGCTGGCGGAAGAAACATTCTTTGCAGTCGTGAACGTAGGATCTCAATTTCCACATTGTGTACGTCGGTATCGTCCGAACTCCATTGCGAGGCATTCCTATGCGTACATATCGTCATACTCGCCATCGTCGTCGTCCTCTACTGGCGGAGGTGGCTGCTGCTTCTTCAGCAGCTCTTTGCGATCAAGCGGGCAGGTGGAGTTGAGCTTCAGCCACGGCCGTATGCAGTCCAAGTCGAAGTAGTGATCCTTATGGCAAGGGAGTTGAACTACAAGCGGATACTGGTCTTTTCGCAATACGAATTAGCCAACGTGTCGATACACTTTCGTCCGCAGGATGTCAGCCCACCTTCAAGGAACGGATTGACGCAAATGGGGCAGGTGTCGGTAGGCTTCAGACTCTTCTTAGGGACGCGCTCCAGCTCGTCCAGAAAAGTGTCAGGCACCCCTTTGAGTTCGGTTGGAGGATCATCAGCGTTCTGGCGCAGCACTTCGATCATGTTGGCGAGCAAATCATTCTCGCCGCTACCCTCCTCATCCGCAGGTCGTCCGCGCATCAACTCGAACGCGTTGGCGAGCAGCCGGAATGCCGCCGACATATTTTCAGGCTGGGGCACTGCATTTGCATTTGTATGCGCCTGCGGATCAGACGTGTCTACAAGTTCCAACTGTGAAAAGAAAGTCGACAAGTCGGGGCGGCGAGCAGAAGGTTGCGCCTTGTCATCCTTGTCGGAGATGTTGTGTTCAACTGGGCTATGTTAATGGCATGTCTTGATCACAGTGACGTGACTCGCCTTCGTAGCCAGACATGTTGGCGATTGGTAAGGTGTGTAGCTGCGAAATACAAATTGTGAGCTCGGCCGATTGTTTATGAAGCCACAGGCGGCGTCGTCATGGTCGGTGCCTGTCTACGCGACGCGGAAGAAGCGATCGAGGGGCAACTGTGGCGTGCATGAGTGGCTGTGCTCTCCGACCCGCCCACCTGTGATTATCTTTCTAGACCACTGCGATGCAAATCATCGAGCCTAGACTATGCAGTAATCTAGTGTTACTCCACTACCTAGGTACTAGTACTACGCGTATTGTTCGACGCGTCCAGAGGATCCACATGCAATTTCCTGAGGGCAGCCAGCGTGCTCGGTTGCGCATGCAGCCTTACTTACCACAAATACTATCAGCCTTGGCTACGACTGAAGGCCAAGTCTATCGGCCTCGCAACCTGAGCCCATCTATCCTGTAGGCATACTGTGTAAAGTTCGCAAAAGGAAATCGCCCACAAAGAAAGCGCGCGGCTTGCCGTTGGCTGCGACACTACTCCTACACAGCCCCACGAACGTCACCCACAGCGGACCATCTCCACTGGCATGTTCCAGGTGCAAACAGAAGCATACAGACATCCATTCAAAAGGAGGCGCAGCTCTAGCACGAGTTAAAGGCATGTACAAGAAGGCAGGGCAACCTCTGTGAAACCACTAAAGGACCTTGTCACATTCTGCGACTTACTCCACACACCACGTTGTCATACAACACCTTATAAACGGAACATTTCCACCACTTCGGCACTTTTCTCACTCAACATTCATGTCGCTACTTGTCATGTCTACCGGACCAGACTCACCTCCGTCGAAAGACAAATTATCGCCGTCCTGGATCCGCCGAGCTTCAGTTCCCTTCAGGAGAAAGTCCGTTCAAGATGCTGATTCGCGACCTTCAACCTCCAACAGCCTGTTGTCACCGCGCCCAACATCCAGCAGAACCAACAGTGAAGAAGCGCAACGAGAGCGTTCGAAGAGCCCCGACAGCCGCACCTCTTTCCGCAACGTCGTGAACCGCCTGCGCTCATCCTCCAGCGCCAGCTCCCTCGGTGGCAAAGTCGACGACACCGACATCCACGACTGGTTCCAAGGTTTCCGCCGCTACAACCAACTCGTAACCACGCAATTCTCCTCCGCCCCGTCCTTCAACGCGCAGGATCTCACCAAAGCCACCAAGACTCTGACCAAGAATTGCGGCGGCCAGCTCATCCACGGCTTACCCGAGGCAGCATTCGACTTCAGTCTCCTCTGGTGTCCCGCCGCCCAACTAGCCCGCCGCGACACCACCGCCCCAACCTGGAGTTGGACCGCATACACGGGCCAAGTCACATTCCCCTTCGACCCAACAACCTGCCCGGACCTAACCCGCACCTCCAAAGCCGAGGGCTCGCTATTCCGCAGCGAAATCACAAACTTCCACATCGGCCCTGCCTCTACCCCATACACCATCCGCCGCGAAAAAAACACATCCATGCGCTCAACCTTCCCGCCCTATTTTCACGCCCCGCGCGGCTCAGATGCCAGCCTCGACGCCGACACGCTGCGCTTCACCGCCGCAACCATCCCCGCGGATGGCTTCAGTTCAGAGCAGTTGGACTACAACAACAAACCCATTCCCGTGTGTCACCTCCTCGACGACAAATCCCAGCACTGCGGCGTCATAATGGCGCACCACGACGACATCGCCGCGCCCAGCTCCTCGGGACCCTTCGAATTCGTCGCGCTTTCGCGCAACCTGCGGCGCGAGGCGAGTCCGCATACGCGGCGGCCGGCGAATCCGACGATTCACCCGCCGGGCACGCCGATCTGGGATGGCGAGGGGTTCGTGTGGGACGAGGCGGTTGTGGATTTCGATGAGGGGGTGTTTGCGGAGGGAGAGTGGAGTATGGTGAATGTCATGTTGGTCAAGTGGGTGGGTGAGCATGCAGAGCGGGTGGCGGTTGGGCGGATACACGAGGATGCGTGGGCGGCAGGAGGTCCGGTTAGGAGGGAGATTGTGCTGCGGTAGAGAGAGCGCGCTGGGGTAGGGGCTTCTTTTCTTCTTTATTATACCCGGGTTAGCAGATACGAGATGTAATATGTACAACAGTTTCTATATCCTCAACGTTGATGTGTCACAGCATGGACGCAAGTAAGACCACTTCAACACAATGCTTCTTCAATTCATCCCAACTAATGCAGGTTGCTCAAGCGGGCTAAAACCCGTCGTTTGAGCTTAAATCTACCAAATTGTTCAAATATTCAACGCCTGTGCTATGCTATATACACTAACTGCAGAATAACCCAGACTCCGTGCCATGTCTATGTCATGTCATGATGAAAGGAGATGACATAAAAGAGACGGAAACTGGGGTATGTACGCGTTATGCTCGCGCTCCCATATCCTGTGATTCCTGTATGCGCCTTGAATTAGGAAATAAACGTTTGAGCTCAAGCTCCGTCGCCCTGGTACTATGTTTTCGTAAAAAATGCCTCCCGATGAGTTTCGTAGCGCTAATTTGGGCAATCATCGAGTAGTGATGCTTGGATATAGACGTGCAACCTGTTCTGCACCAGCTGTAGCTTCTATTTCCGCAACTGTGGCAACACACTTGGCTGAATCTAGTTTCGCGTCCTGGGCATCTGCAATGCTTTGCTCTTCCTCCAGCTTGAATTCGGCGTTCGCATTGTCTTGTCCGGTTATGACGCCTTTCAAAATAACTTCCAGGTCTGCGAGACGCACGGGCTTGATGAGAAAAAGGTTGATGCCGCTCAAGTTTGCTTCTTGTTGGATTTCAGAGTCCGCTACGCCGGTGAGCGCAATGATGGTCACTTTGGGGAGGTTGTTCCGGATTTCGTGTGCGCGAATTGCTCTCGTCGCCTCGAGACCATCCATGACAGGCATATTGATATCCATCAGCACAACATCGATGCGCGAGAGATCGTCAGCAGCATGGGGATGCCCAGTGCCCGAGAGTTCGGGTGTCTGAGCTGCTTTGTACGCTTCGAGTGCCTCTAGACCGTTGACAGCAAGAACGTGTCGATGACCCAGCTTGTCGACAAATGTTCGCAAAAGACGAAGGTTGATTGGATTGTCATCGACAGCGAGGCAGTTGAGCGCTCGTGTCGGTTTTGCGTATATCGACTTCTTCAGAGATACAGGAGCCACGGACCTGACCTCGGGAGCACTACTGACCGAAGACAGTGGCGGCCGGGGAGGACCAATATCATCAGTGTGGACGCGAGAACTTTGTGGCTGCATGTTCTCATTCGCTTCTTCCTTGAGGCTCAGTTGAGTGACCTTGAGTAGCGCACTATCAGTCTCCGTCGCCTTTATCAACGTGCGATTGGCGTTTCGATCCAGACATGATGAGAGAGCCTTTGCGAATTTATGAGGCCCAACAGGGCTGGGCCGATGCACTCAAAAGTGATACCAGGTACAGTGATCGCCGTGGTTGACTGTGCAGATGCTGCCCCTTGGCAAATGACGATGACTGGCGCCGTCGAAGCTGTCGCAGGGTCCTTGCTATGCTGGGCTCGGAGCCACTTTGCGCAAGTCTCTGTCGCCACCACTAGGTCCGGATACTCATTGTTGTCGCTTCTTTCCATACCGAACCAGTCGGTACAGAGACCGTCTAGCGCTTTTAGTGACATTTTAGTAGCCGTCTTGTTCTTTAGGTTCTTCACAAAGTATTCTTCTTCTTCATCAAACCCAACGAAGCGCACCTTCATTCCCTTCGTACGCTTGGTGACCTCTCGCAGTTGCTTCTCTTTCTCTTGCTCTGATCCGGTAGCACAAAAGGTTGGCGACATGCTCGAGTTCTTCAGTGGGCATGTGACTGCGAATTTTGTGCCCCGGCCCCTCTCGCTCCTGACCTCGACCTCACCACCTAAAGATTCAACAATCTGTTTGACGATCGATAAGCCTAATCCAGTGCCTTGGCTGAGTGGGTTCTCCTGAGCAAAGGAATGGAATAACCGATTGTTAACATAGTCCTCAGACATGCCAATACCTGAGTCTGTTACAGTGAAACGGAACTCGCAGCACTCCTCCGTTTTGCTCCGCATCGGCTTCACTTCCAGCTTAACCTTGATGTAGCCGGCCGGTGTGTATTTCAAACTGTTGCCGAACAAATTCATGATGACACGCCGCCAAGCACCCGGCTGTGTGCGAAAAACGTAGTTGTCGCAAGGGTTGATGTCAAGTATAACGGAGATGGCGAGCTTCTCAGACTTGTTTGAGGAGATTTCATAACTCTGCGCAGAGGTCCGCTGATAAGTGTACCCTGCGAAAACACTCTCCACCACATCCTCGGTCAAAACGCTCATGTCGACATCGTTGATCAAGGTCATGATGTCGTTGGTATGAGCATGGCCTGGCGTAATCATGTGCTTAGTGCTCTGAGTCCGCTTCTTCTGACGCTTCGATGCGCCCCGAGTTAGATTGTTGATCTTGGCAAAATCGAGGACCTAGTAATCTTAGTTAATAATTTGGGGAAAGAGCGGCTCAGCTTACGTGATTGATGGTCTCTAGCAATGTCTTCCCGCAAGTCTCGATGGTAGCAACATGGGAGGACTTTCTGGGGAGTTGCGATGTCCCGATATTTTTGAGGAGGATCGGATCATTCCAGAGTATGCCCATGGCAGGAGGGGATCTCAGTTACGTCGCCTGATGGGAGGAAGATGAAAGTCTGCCTCTGGCGGAGTCCGGCCAGCTTTCAATGTCCTAGTCTAGCAACCCTCAGCCATTGCGGAAATTGCTGAGAGGCTGCCAAATTAACTCAGGGTCTTTGCTCGTTGGTGAAAACTCGCATAGGATCCGAAAGTCCAGATGAAAAGCAGTAGCGAACCAGCGATCGCGATGAGAATCCCACAATGGGTAGAGCACTAGACTTCGAGCGCTTGGGAAGACAGTCCGGAGGTAGTTCTCGTCGTCCAGACTTCGCGTTGACTCGGTTTTCTTAGATATGGTGAAAGGAAAGCCGTCGCACATCTCGATATCGCCAGTGCCGCCGTCAGAGGGTGAATTGACGGGAGGCGAGCCAGCATCGTCGTCTAGATTGAAGATTTGACCATGTGGATACAAACGCAGGAGGTGGCGCAGTACGCTCTCGGACATTGAAGCTTCTGTTGTCGACAGCGAGTGAGGTTCGCGGCTACTCTTGCAAAGAGCCGCGCCCAGAATGCTGCAAGGCTTGTCAGGCTCGGGTAGAGACTCTGAGAAGTCGTCGTCGACAAGTCCGCCAAAGGTACTGATCTTGGCATCGAAAAAGACGGCGCCTTCGGCTTCGGTTGCGTCAACGATCATGTTGGCTGCCCGACCGAAAGCAGCCCTTAACTCAGGCGCAATTCGATCCTTCTGGTCGTTGATGGTGGATGTCGAGGTCTTGGTCACCACATCTGGTCGGATCTCAGGCATGGCTTCGGTTGCTGGCGTGACGACATTGCTGGCAGGATGTACACTGGATGGCGAGGTAACATTCGGGCTCGTGACGCTGAGTACACTGGACTGGGCGCTGTTCACTCCGCTGCTGATTGAGTGGTCCACGGGATTATTAATGGTCACATGGGGTCGATGCTGCTGCTGCTGCTGTTGTTGTTGCTGTGCTGCATTGACATCCGGCACACCCAGAGGTGTAGGCTGATCGTTGGACTCCCATGGATCCGACCACCAGTTCTCCAGCCCACTCTTGCCCTCGGCGAATGATCCCAAGCTCTTGACCATGATCTTGCCCCTGCGCTGGTCTTCTGTGGCCCTAGACATTTCTAGATGGCGCATGACGGTGCCGGCCATGTCCTTCAGAAAATCCAGCTCTCCTGGTTGCAGTCCATCGCGAGGTGTGTCGTCGAGGACGCAGTACGTTCCGATGCTGTGTCCGCTGGGGCTGCGAATGGGGACGCCGGCGTAGAAGCGCGAGTACGGGGGGCCGACGACAAACGGGTAGTTCTTGAAGCGGGTGTCCTTGGTCAGGTCATTCACGACCAAGGACGGGTGGTTGCCAAAGGCTTCGATTGGCACGCACGAGTTCTCCCAGCGCAGGTTGACGGTGTAATTGCAGAGGCTCTGCTCTTTGGGAAAGATGGTGCTGCCCCAGCAGAGCTTGTCCTCGCTCTTCTCCGCAGCGCCCGTGTACAGGCATAGTGTCTTGGTCGCCTCGGCCAGCAGATAGCAGTTGCGCCGGTCGAAGAAGGAGATCAGGCATCGTCGGGCATTCAGGCGGAGGGCGCCCAGCTGGGCAAAGGCAGTCAGGGCCTTGTCTTCGGGTGCTCGTGGTGGGCGCTCTTCCGGGGGGGTGCGGGCGACGCTGGCAGCGTTGGGGGGACTTCGTGGACTGGGGACTGCGTGAGGGTGGCGGCTGAGAGACAAGTCTGGCTTGGGCCGCTGCGAATAGTATCTGCACGTTGAGACTGAGCCTTGTTCTGTTCGCAGGGTTATGCAGTCAGACAGTGGGGCGAACACACGTACAGGTAAAAGTCTCGCTCGCGAATGACTGCTTGGTCCTCCATCTTCTTGCGTGCCCTCGCTGGCGGCAGCCGTGAATTTGGTGTTTCTAGACGGTCGGCCATACTGGCGACGACGGACTAGACAAACTAAACAAGCAGGCGGTGGCGGCGGCAGCTGGATAGGACCATGCCGTGAGCGACACCGAAAACAGCTCGAGGCTTTGCAACCCCAGGGCCTTTCGTGATCTGGTTCACCGTTGCGACACGGCTGTCCAACTGTCAGCGGCACTAACGGCACAAAGCTGTTTGTTAAGTGGAGGAGCGGCCAAATTCACAAGTCTAGCGTCATGCTAAGGGAAGTGCGGCGTTCACTGGCGCAGAAAGCGTCTATCTAGGGTCCAGTTCCAGGCCTGCACTTCACAACAAGAGACTGCAAGGAGAGCAAAGACGAGCAGGCAAGAGACGGTGAACAGCACTGAGGTCTGACGATTTGGTGACTAGGCAGGATCCCCCCTGTGGCGCCGATCCGATAGATAGCATGGCTCGGGGCGGAGCAAATTTCCCAGCCCAAGCACCGAGAGGCTCCCAGTGCGGCCGCAGATCATAACCGTTTCTGCGTGCGATGCGACATGTTCGTTCGTGGTGTTGTGCACCGCTTCAGATCGCGCCTAGGGTGTGCCCCCCATGGAAGGCTTAGCCGAGACGATGCCCCTCGCGTGCCCCGCTAACCACCGATATGCTCCGACTCATTCGTCGCCAGTATCGCACACTCTCACTGCACTCTCGGATTGGTCGAGCAACTGTGATTGGATCCCTGTATTAATCTAGGACATATCGACGGACAACAACAACCTGAGCTGCGACCATCGGCTCAACTCTGCTTGGGCATCTTCAACTACAACATGGGCCGACTCTTCACGGTAGCAACATGCAGTCTCAACCAGTGGGTTATGGACTGGGAGGGCAATCGAAAGAGGATAGTCGAGTCGATAAAGATTGCCAAAGAACGCGGTGCCCGTTTCCGAACGGGCCCTGAACTAGAAATCACCAGCTATGGCTTGCTCGATCACTGGTAGGAGACCATTCATGAATCATTGAGATACTTGCTAATAATGTGTAGTACGTCCCATTCATATTTCAATACACTAAGAGCATTGGTCTTTGATGCTTCACCTAAGAGTGTTCCGACTGACTGCTGGCAGTCCTCGAATCCGACACCTACCTCCATGCCTGGGAGCAGATGGCCATCATCATGGCCGACACTTCGCTCCACGGCATCGTCTGCGACATCGGCATGCCCATCATGCACCGCAACAACCGCTTCAACTGTAGAGTCATCATCTTGGACGGCCGCATCCTCTTTATTCGCGCCAAGCTGTTCCTGGCAAATGATGGCAACTACCGCGAGAACCGCCACTTTATTCCTTGGGGACGTCCCCAGCACGTCGAGGACTACTACCTACCCCAGATGATCCAGAATCTGCAGGGCACCAAGAAAGTCCCGATCGGTGACATGGTCCTGAGCACACCAGATACCTGTCTAGGCTTTGAGACCTGTGAAGAGTTGTTTACGCCCCAATCGCCTCACATCGACATGTCGCTAAATGGAGTCGAAGTCATCACCAACTCTTCGGGTTCCCACCACTCCCTTCGAAAACTCCAAACAAGGTTAAGCTTGATCACAGAGGCGACGAGGAAATGCGGTGGCGTGTATCTCTACAGCAACCTTCAGGGAGGCGATGGTGACCGGCTGCTCTACGATGGCGGCAGTATGATTGTTGTAAATGGCGAGGTTGTTGCACAGGGCAGTCAATTCAGTCTCAACGATGTTGAGGTCGTGACAGCGACCATCGATATTGAGGAAGTCCGAGCATACCGAAGTTGCATCAGTCGTGGTCATCAAAGCATCAACGCGCCTACGTACGAGAGACATGAGACAGACTTTAGCCTTGGACTGCCAGACGCAGAACTGGACCTCAACATATCACCTACTCCGCGGGTGGAGATTAGAATACACCGACCTGAGGAGGAGATAATGCTATCTGCGTCATGCTGGCTGTGGGACTATTTGCGACGAAGTGGCGCCGGTATGTTTGATTGGAACTCATTTACAGCAGCGCTGATTTCGAATAGCTGGTTTCTTGATCCCCCTATCTGGTGGCCTAGACAGTTGCAGTACAGCAACTTTAGTCTTCTCTATGTCGGTCCAAATATGTAAAGCACTGGAACAAGGCAACGAACAAGTCAAAGCGGACGTCCAACGAATTGCCGGCGTCTATGAGGCAGAAGGGTGGCTACCAAAGTCCCCTCAAGAGCTCACTTCAAGACTACTGTGAGCCCCCTCACTTCAGCAATTCTCAACATCACTTTACTAACTTCCCAGCGAAACGGTCTTCATGGGCATGAAAGAGCAATCCAGCACCGAAACCCGCACGCGCGCCGCCGACCTCTCTACCGCCATTGGCAGCAAACACACCGACATGAACATCGACGCCATGTTCCACGCCTTCCGCGACACCTTTGCCGCCTCCACCTCCTTCACCCCCAACTTCCGCAGCGCCGGCGGCACGCCCGCCGAGAACCTCGCGCTGCAAAACATCCAAGCCCGCTCCCGCATGGTCACCGCCTACCTGTACGCCCAACTCCTGCCCACGGTGCGCCAGCGGCCCGGCGGCGGCGGCCTGCTCGTCCTAGGCTCCGGCAACGTCGACGAGTGTCTGCGCGGCTATCTCACGAAATACGACTGCTCGAGCGCAGACATCAATCCCATCGGCGGAATCTCGAAAACCGACCTCAAAGCCTTCCTCACCTGGGCGAGCACTTCTCTCTCCCTCCCCATCCTGACTTCCTTCGTCGAAGCCACCCCCACCGCCGAACTCGAGCCCATCACCGCCGAATACACCCAGTCCGACGAGGCCGACATGGGCATGACTTACCACGAACTCAGCATCTTCGGGCGCCTGCGCAAGGAGCGCAAACTCGGCCCGTTTGGCATGTGGCAGGCGCTTGTTTTCCAGTGGAAAGACGAATTCTCGCCCAAAGAGGTCGCGGATAAGGTCAAGCGCTTTTACCACTATTGGGCGATCAATCGCCACAAGATGACGGTTATGACGCCCAGTCTGCACATGGAGGATTACTCGCCCGATGACAATCGCTTTGATTTGAGGCCGTTTTGCTATTTTCCGTTTTATAGGAGTTGGAGCTTCAAGAAGATTGATGAGGGGGTCGAGAGGTTGGAGAGGGCGGCTGCGGGGAAGTAGGGGGAGGATGTGTACCTCTGTAGTGGAAATGTAGAAGTTTAGAGTATCGGGGTGTTCATGACAAATATCCAACATCGAATCAACAGACTTTTCGTACGCAAACAAATGGAACAAACGACCAGTGCATCGAGTGAGAAATTCAAAGCACATGTTGATTGCGGTAATGACTGTAGATGTGTTCCTTATTGTGGTTTATATGATGTGGCAAGTCAAGGAAAGTCGAGGCAGTGAACATACTATACAAAAATCCTCATCCCTCTCACGCTATAACTCCAGCGTACGCGCATATCCAATCCCATTCCATTCTTAATCCCAAGAGTGACTCCTTCAAAGTTAACGTATGGTACCCATCTACTGCGGGATCCCATCCTTCTGCATCTGGCTAAGAACCTTTCCCATAGCCGGGCCCATGACGACAAAAGCCTCGGCAACAAGAACATGTGAGACAACTAGCAGCATACCCATAATGATGAAGAAGCCCTTGACGAAAAGCTTGATAAGACGACGACGCGCCTCCCAGTTGAAGCTGCGCCACGCCTCCAAGAAGCTAACCTTTCCAGAACCGCCCATCATCTGGCTGACGACCTTGCCACCGAAAGTGCGGTCGAAGGGAACGATGGTGTCCTCGTCCTCGGGGAGAATGGAAGCCTCGATGCGGACAAGAGTGACGTTGGCGGGAAGGCAGAGGAAGAGGGTGCATGTAATTGCGAAGACAACGGTGACGAGCATGCGCACGGCGAGGCAGGCTACCTGCTTACCGCTGTACTCGGCGACATTCTCTCCGTCAAGCTTGTGCAGACTCATGAGCATCGCAACGCCGATGGTGAGGTAGAGGCTGATAGTGGGCATGGCGGACTCGATAGCGGCGGGGAGCGCGAGCGTCTTCCAGCTGGCCTTGCTGGGCAGGCGCTGCATGAACGACTTCTCCGTGGGCAGCGAAACGACCTTGTGTGTCCATGCGGCGTGTACATTTGCGACTGCTGCACCGCTGAGGGCGGCGACGACGATGCCTTGTCCGGGAACAAGGGGGAGCGCAGCGGAGAGGAAGGTCGAGACAAGGCTGAACAGGATGGCGTGGAGAACGTGGATCCTGTAGCCACGGAAGCGGGCGAAGCGGCCAGCGTGCGCGGCGAGGTGCTTGATGGTGCCGCGGATTGACGAGGTGATGGGCTTCTGGTTGACGAGAGTGATGGTTGGGCCGTTCTCGAGCAGTCCCTCCTTCTCCTCCTTGTCTGCGACTTCGTGGGTGGAGGGAGAGACGGTGATGGCGGCGACGGGAGACTCCACCATGCAAAGCGTAGTGATGACTTGGTTGATCATGTAGGAGACCTAGCGACTGTGTTAGCATTTGCGCTCCTCCCGTGCATCGATATATAACATACCATGGTCACGCCGACAAGCGCAATCCAGACGCTCACATAGAGCAGAACGACTCCCCATGTCGGGATCTCGACATCTTCCAGCCTTGTGGACGGGTCCTGGTTCGTGTACACGGCGCGCTTGACATAGGCCACCGTGTTGGGGTGTGTAAGCCCGCGGCGGGCGAGGTCAGCAAACATCGTTGCCACCGGTTGATACGTTGTAAACTGTGGTTGTGAGAAAGAAACAGTCGCAAGTAAGTAGAGTACGAAAGGGAAGTTGTAAGAAAGAGTTGTGTCGAAAGTAAGAAAGAAGTACACAGTGGTGTGAGGGACGCCTGGCGACGTTCGTCCGTGAGCGGCAAAGGAGGCACACAAGTCCGACTGAGAGGCGGTGCTGGCCCTGACGCAACAGGTCGGAGTCGCGGCTGCCTAGTGTTTGGGGGCCTAAGTGGGGCGGATACCGATCTATAATTGGCCAAGTGTGAGAATGCTCGAACAGCGACGTGATGACGCTCTGAGACAAGCGGAATGGTGAGAGGGCTTTGTGAACAAAAAGAAGGTTATTAATTCAAGGATGTATCATTTTCGAATGCGTCTTTTTGCCAGACCAATCTACAAAACAAAGAGCCTGTGGACAGGGTTCGTTGGTGGCGCTGCGGCGAGATTCACATGCATCAGATTCAGTAGTTGCGCGGCACGGTAACGACACCTTCACCGGATTTCGACAAGGCACGCCAGCAATAGTCAGTGTCAGCCGTACATTCACATGCTAGAGTGAAGACGTAGCATCACACGGCAATACGTCACATCCAGTCAATTGCTGAAGGAGAAATGGTCATTCGCTAACAGATACATGAAGAACAACGACGCCTTGTGTCCATGCCCAATTAACCCTGACCCCGTCCATGAGAGACGAACGGCGCCCAGACTCCAAGGGAAAAGATAAGAGACGCCGCCATTGACGCCGAGTAGAAGCTTTTAGGAGAAAACAATGTTCCTACACCGCGCATGTTCAATTTGGGCTGCGTGACTGTCGTATCAAGGCTCAGGCCAAGGTCATCATAGGTCATCATCGTGAAGATGGGTGTGCGTAAGGAACTGGTGGAATTATGGTATGCACTTGAGGAAGTACATAGTCGTTTCGGTGAACCTCTCAGATGTTGAACGCGTGGAGGCTGTCAAATCGATAGCGTAGAGCAATTTACATTGCAGGCTGGGGCGGCGAGGTGATTGGCTTCTCGCTAAGCTCCGAGTCAAGCTCGTGGCTGGGAGCGGCGGGGAACTGCTCCTTCTTGACCTCGGGGGATGTTGAACGTCCACGGTACTGGTTGATCGTCTCCTGAGCCTTGTTCGTGTACTGCTGGGTGAGACCCTGTACAGTCTTGGCAGCATTTCCAGCGTGCTGGTTGGCGAGACCCTTGATCTGAGTAGCCTGCTGGCTAGCGATTTGACGGCCCTTCTCAAGCTGCGCATCGATAACCTCCTTGTTCTGAATGTAAACGAGAGGGCCGAGATACGTGACGACGGTCGCGATCAAGGTCAATCCCCAAAGAGGGACGAACTTGATAAGGAAGTAGGAAATGAGGGAGGCGAAGAAAGCCTGAGTTGAGCGTCAGCAAAGTCTTGTTGGACGATGTCACAAGGAGGGCACTTACTGCTCCACTAGCATATACGTTCTCGGCGAAGACTATGCGCTGAGACTCGATAACGACGAAGTTGATGATCTGCTCAACGTCGTCAAGCAAGCGTTCGAGCGAAGCCTTGGGGACCGTGAAGTATTGACGCGGGCGGAACTGGGAGGTAAGACCGCGGCCAAAAGCGAGTTGTCCAGCAACCTCGGCAGTCACAGTCGCACCAAGTGTAAGGTAGAGGAGCTTGAGGGCGTAGCGGATGACATTGAGGTATCGGGCGGCGAAGATGAAGACGACGGTGGAGGCAAAGGCGATACCAGTTGCACGAGGGTTCTTCCAGCTCAGGAGGCGGTAGAACATGCTATGGTAGTCTGACCACAATTAGCAATCTACACATTAAACGCGGTCGAATTACGCACGAGTGAGGTTCTGGCCGGTGGCAGCCTTGTGGTCTGGTGTTTGTCGGGAGTTTGCAAGATCAGCGAACTCGTCGCGGGTCTTGGTCGCCTCTGCCTGTACATTCTGGCCGACGGGTCCTGAGAGGTTTAGTAGGTTGTCACACGTATGCACACGTCGGGAATCTGTGTCGCGCGAGCAGTCAGCACATGTCCAGACATCTCAGGGAAGTTTTGGAGCGACTCACCTCACCGTTGACGACCGTGTCCTTTGCGTTCTGCACCGAGGGGTGGTTGATACCGGCGTTCATGGCGTGCTGTGCTGCTTTGAGGTTGTTAGAGGGGAAGTTCGGTGGTGTGCGAATGTGCGAAGCACAGATAAGACTGTAATGCATGGCGTTAGCTGGGGCTCGGCAACTTCGGAGGCGTTTCGTCCCACGTACCTCACTCTCCAGGATGCTGTTTCCTGTCTTCTGTGCGCTCTGTGCCAGGCCTCCGTTCGCGGTGCCGTTGGTTTGCGGCATATCGCTCGAGAAATCAGTAGCAGCGCGGTTTGAGGGCGCGGAAGGGTCCAGGTCGGGGAGGGTGCTGTGGTTGATCTCAACACGCGGAGCCTCAGACATGACGAGTGATTGATCCGCTTTGGGGTCTTAATGTAGGGACAAAAAGGGTGATGATCAAATCTGCGGAGGAAGGAGGTTGGGTTTGAGCGTGTGGAAGAAGTGCAAATGCTTTTATTCAGAAAGGGCAACGCTACGTTTGGCCAGGCGCGAGTGTCGTGTGCGCAGTGTTGTGAGACGTCATTGCGGGTCACCTTCGAACCACGGCCGCACCAGCAGGTTCTACAAATCCTATGTCATCGACGTGAATGTGCATCATAGGCTGCCTCCACATTCATTTTTCTCCATGTAAATCCCGTTCCTGCTGTTGTCACTGTGTCCTCGTTGTGCCTGCCTTGAGAGCCTAATTTTGGGCTGCCATGTGTTTTGCATGTGAAAGCATAAATCTGCCCCTCGGAACTTCAAACCATGACGCAACCTAGGATTTCTTGACTGCTCTCAACATGACGGAGCTTCCTTGGTAGGTACATAGTTCACTGTGGCAAGCACTTTCTTTTTGGCCTGGCGTCTCATTCGCCCCTGCATGTTTTCTGGAGATGTGGTTTCCAGTGCAGTGGGCGCTTAGCGGCGATCCTGCTTGAGATAATCCTGAACAAGAGTTCCAGCGTACTGGACCCATTCCTGGAATGTGCAAGCATCATAATGACTGCGTGGTATTGTGGCTCATTCGGATTCAAGAACATGCATTCGCTTGCATTCGGTCAGCATGCGCATTCGTCCGTCGGTTGTGCTTCGTGTGTGAATCTGTTGAGCACGGCCAAGCGCTCATGCAAAGGGTGCCTATCTGGCGTCCGGAACTGGGAAATGAACACTATGCAGATCAATCTTAGGAATAAATGTCATCCAAGTATCCCCAGGCATGCCAATGCCCATTCAAATATACATAAATGCAGGACCGCTTGCCCAGGTGGGCAGGAGGGTTGTGCTAGTCACGTGTCAGCACATGCACGACCCGCTTCTACTGCCAGGCACATGGATGTCCCACATCTCCACCACCAAGACCAGCATCCAATCCTGAACGTTGCAGGTGATCCTTTCCATGTGCTCCGGCCTCATGAAGACATTTAACAGCCTGTCACATGTCAACACCCATCAAACGTCAATGATCGCCTGTAGATGGGCGGGCCCGGAGTTTCCGAGATTAGTTATTCATGGAGAACGCCCATGTTGAGGAAAGAATTGAATGAGCTGCTGAAAAGAGCAGATGCTAACACCCTGAATGTTGGGAAACTACCGTACTTCGCAATGTGGTGGATGTGGCCGGAGATACTGAAAGCAGAATGGGAGGGCTGGATGCACATGCTCGGTCCACACCCGAACGACAGGCTCTGAAAGGTGGGGGTATCTTTTGCTCGGAGGTTGATTGCGGAATCATGCAGCACGCGTGATTTCGTGCCAGCTCTTAGACTTATGAGCCAACTACCTAGGCTTTTGACTTTGCGCGGATGCGTACGCAGCGTCTGTCTAGCTCATGGCATCCGGCTCTAGCAAGCCCTTCGTCCTGGCTGTCGGGTCCGCGAGGGTAAAGATCAGCACTGGACGGGGTCTGTTAGCCACGAAACACATCCTGTGACTCTGCACGGCTGGCGGTCCTTGAGGAGATCCGATCGAGTGCCACGGCCGACCGAGCCCTGGGCGGTCAAGGTCGCTGCGAAGACGCAATTCGATGGCGCCTCGGCCAGTCAGCGGTAATCGTGACCCCCGCTGTGTGTGCATAAACGCGGTTGGACGCCATACCTTTACCGATAGATAGAGGCGAGCGCTAGATATCACGCGAAGCGCACCATGTGTGCAGATGGGCATGCATGCGGCCAGCGAGCCGCGGCCAGCACAGGAGCTCCAAAACCTCCTGTACAAAGCGCCGCTGCTTCACTGCGCGCCGGTAAACACATTTCCCCATCACCTCCAGCGCACACTGCATCGGCGACGACGTCGGAGCCTGCGCTTATCAACGTCCACTAGCAGATAGTCCAAGAGGTTGGCAGGACGTGGCAGCTGGCGACGACGCGCTACGCTTTATCATTGTGCCGCCACCGACTCTGGGCCGTCGTCGCTGGGGCTCGATCGCCGGTCGATAAGTGTCAGGCACTCCTTCACGAAGCTCGTGCCCACTTCGCTCTTGACTCCTCACTTCCACGCAACGCGTTCCTTCACGCTGTGCAAACATTACGGACTGCAAATCGCATCGCGCATCGTGGACTCCAGGGCCATACCCTCTACCTAACCCGCCTCCTCGGTACGCCAAAGACGTCAGACCAAGAAACGAAATGGTCAAAGCGCTTCAACCTCACAATCCTGTATCCGCCGTTATCGCTGCCACCCAAAATCGCTTGTGAGCACGCGACATCTCTACAGCTCCCCCTCTACGGAGGTGAGAGTCTGTGAGGGCTGCTCACCAATAATGATAATTCCGCGCGACATCTACAATGCATCTCCACCAGAGCGTCGTACCCGCATCGGCAACAACCCCACGTTGTTGTACAGCTGGTGGTGCACCATCTTTTCCATCGTCATCATCGGATTTCGAGTTTCCGGCCGGTACATTCGGAATGAGCGACTCTTCCGTGAAGACAAGATCATGGCCTGGAGCATCATCCCGCTGGCCGCGCGCATGGGATGCGTGCACATTGTTCTCATATACGGCACGAACAATGTCGACGTTAGTCAGCTCACAGATCCCCTGATCATCCGTCACCGCGAAATAGGAAGTCAGTGTGTGCTGGCTGCACGGATCTTCTATGCCATGTTGTAAGTAGAACAAGCTGAGCCATGGATGTTCGACAGCGTCTGACACATGCACAGTATATGGATGGCTAAATTCACCGTCTCCGAATTCCTTAAGCGCTTGACAGAACGTTTCTGGAAGAAAGGCTACGAATGGGGATTGCGTGGCATACGCATCTTTCTCGTCGTCACCTTCGTCATAGTCTTCATTGCCACCCTTGCCGAGTGCCACCCCTTCACACATTACTGGCAAGTCATCCCGGATCCAGGACCGCGATGCCGCCAGGGCTACGCCCAACTCCTAACAATGGGAATCACTGATATCATCACGGACATCCTACTGGTTGCTTTCCCCATTCCGATCATATTCCGATCTGCTATGCCATTAAAGCGCAAGCTCTCACTCACCGCGCTGTTCTCTTTGTCTATCATACTCATCGGTGTGACTAGTGCTCGGATGCCCCTTGTCATCGACCGAAGGGGCTTGCAACAATTCCGCACCGTATTTGCGTCAACAGAAGTACTCGCCGCCGCCATAGTATCCAACGCCATCATCTTAGGATCATTTCTCCGCGATCGAGGTGTCAAGAAGGCCAAGTTCAAGGCACCATCTACCAACGATAGCATGGAGCGAAGAGGTTCAGCTCGCCGAATGACCGATCAAACCTGCAGCAGCGACGAAAATCTCGCTCGATCTCTCGGCTTCAGAACCGCACCTGAACTTGCCGAGAATCGTCCAACTGTACCCAGACCAGCACCCGTAGCCGACATAGGCCTACTTTCATCTGGCAAACAAGATGGCCCATTCACGAACAGCAATTGGCAGTTTCCACAAGAAGAGCTTGGCATGTTTGACAGGCACGATGATGCAAAGCTGAGCATCACCGATATCCGAGACCCCATGCCGAGTCCTCGAGCTGGCCGCCGCGTCTCCTGGGTAGATGCCGGTGGTCTTCTTGACAATGCAGCCGTGACACCGTCACCCACCGATTCTGTCATCGCACATGACTTCGCACCACAACCACGCAGGAACTCGAGAGCATCCAACGCATACCTTCCCAATTGCCGCCCTTATCCTCCTGCAGCACGACGTTCATCGCGACTTTCTCAACGATCGGAAGATTACGAGATGTCAACTCCTAGGCCGAACTATCAACTTGAAGATCTCGGTGGCTTGCTCTCTGAGGAGCAGGAGAAAGAGAGCAATGATCGTCCTTCCACGTCACCACACTCACCGCCATCCACTGGACTCACGCGACATCAAAGACGCCAGTCGGCCTCGATACATCGTACCTCTACCCGAAATAGCCATGATGTACCTTCGTTGAGAGATCCAGGTGGACTCCTCTCCAACAACCCTGCCGCACCCATACGACGCACCACCACCCAGACCAGCTATGACGTTCCTTCTCTGAAGGATCCTGGCGGTCTACTCTCCTAGCATCCCTCCTATACTTCCCATTCAGTTTGATACCCCAGCCCTCGGGCATTTTGTTTGCATAGCTTGCCCATCTTGTTTCTTTTGTCTTTTTTTTGGTACGATATCCCCTACATGGTTGTAAGAAGGGTTACGAGAGATGACGTTACGAATGCTATCAGGTTGACATACAGATGGAGGATCTACATTTGGATATATTGGAACTTCATACCTGTATCATATACTTGTCTCGATCGCTGTCCATAGACGTAGGTCAAGCCGGCAGATAGCCCCGGTCTATGTAGAGTTAAATACCCTTGTCCGGCACTTATGCATTGCTACTCAGGGCCTCGTCTGCACTATGTTGAGCGATCGAGGGCAGGATGTTTTCGATAGAAACACTGCGAGTTCCGATTGCTCGGGTCACTAATAATAGGGTTCAGACTAGGACGTTGCCGCCGTTTGTGGGGATGTCAAGGGGTGGAGCCTTGGGGGTACCGCCGGCGTGGCTTGGCAGTCCGAGCTCTGTTCCTCACCACAAGTTCAATGGCTTCGCTAACGAAGGTTGATGTCCACGACTTATCACATCAGACTTAGGCAGACTTACTTGCTGAGCACAGACGATTTCCGGATTTTAAACAAGCCGAAGCTGCGGCAAAAAGGCCTTTAAGCAACTCGTTAGCTATGGACGACGATCCAACACCGTCTCCAACGCCTCCCTGTAGTCCACTTGGCCGAGCAATGCACAATGATGCACCGACAATATCAGAGATCACACAACTAACCCGCCAACAACTTACCACAGCTAGCAAGATCGATCCGATTCGCGAATGCGGACGCGCCGCGCTTGCCATTCTGCCACAAGATCCGCATACCTGTCAGCAGCTAGCGTATCAGAAACTACACGATGTGCCATACAGGGACGTCAAGACTTGTTGGAGAAGGCTGTACACAGATGCGACGTTGTGGAAGGTTGTGGAGCTGGCAGAAGGTGGGACTGAAGAAGAGAAGGCGGATTGGATAGATGAGGTTGTGAGGGCTCTAGACATGGCGCTCATCTTGACGGGAGCGCCAGGGAGGGAGGAGCTCGTGGAATTGTGGTTTGAGGCACTGAAGGAAGCCCTAACGTCTGAGTATGAGTCCGAACGACCCGTGAAGAGAAGGAAGATTACGACAGACAAGACCATTGCAAAGCCACCTTCGAGCTTTTCGATAGCACTCCCAGAACCTACGCCAATCCTACGATACCCTATCGCACGTTCGAAGGAAATTAGCATGTCAGCATTTCAAGCAAAAGTTTCGGACTTGGCCAAGCATATACCCATGATTATCGAGGGTGCTTTGCAGCACTGGCCGGCTCTTGATGAGCGGCCGTGGAGCCGACCTAGCTATTTGCTAGAGCAGACGCTAGGTGGCAGGAGGTTGGTTCCCGTCGAGGTAGGAAAGAGCTATACCGATGAAGGGTGGGGACAGAAGATTATCACATTCAAAGAATTCATGGACACCTACATGCTCCAAACAGACCCTGATGTCCAAAGTCCTGGAGAAGCATCCAAGAGAGGTTACTTGGCCCAACATGACCTCTTCGCTCAAATCCCATCTCTACGCGCAGATATCAGTATACCAGACTATTGCTATTGCAATCCTGCATCATCGCAACACGTTACGCAAACCAAGCCTACAGCAAAGCTCGAAGAACCTTTGCTGAATGCATGGTTTGGACCCGCGGGTACCGTGTCACCACTCCACACAGATCCATACCACAACATCCTCGCACAAGTGGTAGGCTACAAATATGTCAGACTCTATGCTCCCGGGCATACTGAGCAATTGTACCCGCGCAGCATAGACGAGAACGGAGTAGACATGAGCAATACGAGCCAAGTCGATCTAGACCAAGCGATACGCTTGCTCGGTGAAAGACAATATTGGCAGCAGGACGAAAATACGGATATATCCGATCTCGAGCAAGTGAGACGCAACTTTGAAGAGCAATTTCCACATTTCAAATCTGCTCCCTACATGGAAGCTATTCTCGCACCTGGCGAATGTCTCTATCTACCTGTGGGATGGTGGCATTACATTCGCAGTCTGACGCCTAGCTTTAGTGTGAGCTTTTGGTTTAATTGAACACGTGCGCATATCTGAGTTTGGGTTTGACGGAGTAGGAAACCATGGTGCAGGCCTATGCAAATTGTGTTGGGCACATCCAGCTTATCGAGTTTTCGTCTGTGTCAAATCAACGCGCAGGCTCGTGACTTCGCGTTGCCTTCGGAAAGTAGTCCGCGTTTCTGGCGCGTAGATCCACCAACGGGCATCGTTAGCTGCATAATACGTGACATCATCATTGGAAACTTCGATATCAACGGAATCTTGCGGAGAGCTGGTGGTTCGCGGAGACATGGTTCCGACTTTGCACAGTGGGGACATAGGTGTGTGGTGGTGGGTTCAGTCTTGGAAGCAGCCTTCACTGCGGCCTTCTTAAACTCCGAGGCTAGCGAGAGCCTGCGTGTGTGACACAGTCGGCCTTGGCATCCCTGGTGAAGCGCATATAGTTCTCCAGTTCGATTCTTCAAAGTGCCCATCTCAACACACAGCATTCCCAAAACACAACACCATTATGAGCTCCTCGGATCAACCGCTCCGCCAATCGGGCATTTATCGCAACCTACCATCATGGGACTCATCTGTTCAGAACCTAACAGCCGTTGTGTGTGGTGCTACTGGTATCTCGGGGTTTCACGCCATCCGAGCACTTCTCGACACACCAGACCGCTGGTCTAAAGTCTACGCACTCTCGCGCAGCCCATTGTCCAAAGAAATGCTTGCTTTCTTCACGGAACAACAACTCGGCCGTCTTGAGCATGTCTCCATAGACCTGAGCTCTTCCGCTGATCAAATTGCCAAAGCCTTCAAAGACGCCGGCGTGGAAGCTGATTACATCTTCTATTACGCCTACCTTCCCCCAAAAACCGAAAAGAGCGCCATGGATCCCAGCACAGCAGAAGATCTTCTCGAGTCTAACATCCCGCCCTTCAAAAACTTCCTCGCCTCCTTGCCTTTAGCAGGCCTCAAACCCAAACGCATCCTTCTGCAAACTGGCGGTAAAAACTATGGTATGCACATCGGCCGTGCGCGCACACCAGCCGTGGAATCAGATCCAGAGCCTAGACATCTTAGCCCCAACTTCTACTATCCTCAAGAAGATCTGCTGCGCGAGTACTGCGAGACTCATCCTGAGACAGGCTGGAACATCGTGATGCCAGTCGCAATAATCGGCGCAACGCAATACGCATCCATGAACACCTTCGTTTCATTCGCCGCCTACGCAGCCGTCCAAGCCCATCGAAAACAACCCCTGAACTTCGGCTCCGGATGGCGCAGCTGGCAATTCGACTCTACCAACAGCACTGCGCGCCTGACGGGCTACTTGAGCGAATGGGCTGTCCTCGAGGAGAAGTGCAAGAACCAGAAATTCAACAGCCAGGATGGTGGATTGATGAGCTTCGACCGCTTCTTTGAAGAATTGGCACGTTGGTTTGGCGTCGAGGTCGTTAATGGTCCTGTCGATGATGAGGCAAAGTACACCAATATGAAACTCACGGGCGGGAAAGATGCGCCGATAGGTTATGGCCCGCCACTCGTTCATCAGCAGTCCTTTACACTCGCGCAGTGGGCGCAAGAACCCGGAGTCAAAGAAGCGTGGGAGCAGATCATGAAGGAGTCGAATGGACAGCTGAAGACAAATGTGTTTGAAGGGAACGCGCGGGATTCGGTCATGATGGGAGACTTTACGTATTTGCCGTTTGGCACGCTGAGTATGAATAAGGTGAGAAGGTTTGGGTTTAGTGGGTTCGTGGATACGGTGGAGAGTGTGTTTGAGACGTATCAGGAGATGGCTGAGTTGGGCATGTTGCCGAAAATGAAGGTGGATGCTGCGAGGCCTTTGATCTGATTGATGGATTAGATGGAAGCAGCAAAACCAGTCAAGTAAAGTTGAAAGCATTGGAGATGATGAAATTGGGCTACACGTGATACTGCGATAGCGTGTCTAATGTAGCGTGAATCGAATCAGTCGGACCGTATACTCCTGACTCTTCACCGAATGTCGATCAAGAACGTGATAAGTACATGTCACCGACGCACAAATGAGCTTTCTCGGGAGCAGAAGCTCTTGTTCGCATGCAAATGACGTCGGTGACGCGAAAAAAAGAGCGTCAGAAGTCAGACATTGAAACTTTGATCCGTGAAGATGAAGACCTCAAGATGCGTCTAGCTTAAGCGTACGCCAATTTCCATACAACTTGCAAGCGTCTTGCTAGGCTTGTGATTCTAGAAGAAAGAGATCCATGCGACCATACCATCTATGTTCCTGGGTCGATATCGTACAGCTCCCGCAACATGTGCCTTTTCGCATCTTCAGAAGCCCAGCACATCTTGATAGCATTCTCTGCCAGCCTCTGTATCTCGAAATTCGTGAACCCGCAGTATTTCCTCACCACGAGCAAGTTTTCCAGCACCCACGTATCCTCCATAAACGCCGGATCGTCGCTCGCAACAGCTATCATGATGCCGACGTCGAAGAGAGCTCGAATACGTTGGAACACTTCGTCCAGTGGTTGGTGGCGAATGTACGACCAGGGGCAGATTGTCATTCCGAGGTTTTTCTCCTTGATCAAATTCATCAGATTGGCGTCGCCAGCAGCGTTCAGTCCGTGGTCGATTCTGTCCGCACCTGTGTCCGCGATGCTCGATGCGACCTGATGAATGTGCTCGAGAGGATAAGATTTGCCAACGTCACAGTGCGCTGTAAGACGAAAGCCATCATTCCTTGCTCTGACGAAGATTTCATCAAACAGCGATGGCGGTCTGTTGACTTCGTTCGAATCAAGGCCAATCCCCACTATCATGTCGCGGTATTTTAGTGCTGCCTCATAATGCTCCCTTGCGGACTCTGGTGACTCGTCTCGAAGGAAGCACATGATCCAAGCTGATTTCACCTGCAGTGTGTTGTGAGTAAAAAAAAACGTGGTTGGGAAGACACTAGGCTTACGTTGAGAGCCTCCTCAGCTTTCCGCTGCGCTCTTCGAAAACCCTCCATCATCGTCTCCCAACTCGTCCCAACCCGCGTATGTCCCTGTGGATCAAAAAAGATCTCAGCATATCGCACATTCATTGCCGCAGCATGTTCGTAGTAATTCATAGCAAGATCAAAGTAATCCTCCTGTGTTTTGAGCACCTCAAAGCCACCGTAATAGGCCTCGAAGAAGGACAGCGTCTCTTCACTGTTGTCCATGCGGTTCCCAGTACGCGGCTTTAATGTGTCATGGGAGTCTCGCAGTTCATCGAGTGAAGAAAAGGGTTGACCAGTCCGAGGGTTGGGAATTGCTTGACCGTTGCGTTGCGAGAATCTCCATTTGAGATCTGCACTTATGATTCCCTCGATATGGATTTGAAGTTCGACTTTTGGAATTGCGTTGATGTATGGGTCTGTTGTAGCTGCCAGGGCGCGCCTCAGCTCTCCGCGTCCTGCTACAGACAGCGCATTTTCTACGTCCGTCATTGTCGTTGCGGAGTTGTGTCTGTGGGAAGTGGATATTCGCTATTTCAGCCAGCAAGTGAGGTTTAAGAACGACAGTGGCGTTTATTCTGAGGAAATCGAGGTGGTATTTGTACAGAAAAGGCAATCTAAGGACAGTATACATCGTTAGTGACTCACACCTCACGGGTGATCATTGTGCCGATCAACCGAGCAGTACACTGCTAAGCAGACCGCATCACGGCGCGTTCCGAGACATACTACCATACGCGAGCGCCTGATGCATGGCTGATACTCCAAAATAGGTCTGAAGGCTGCAGGCGCGGATTTGTGGTAGGGGTTTGACAGTGCTGCATAAGCGGGGAAGTTGAGTCATCATTGTAATCATTGCTCACTACGATGGCATTCTGATCTCTAGGGTCGATACAACTATATCATGAGGTCCTGCTCCAGATGCAATTACAGTTCTAATATTGGCAATCGTGAGATGAACTCACTACTCTGTTTCTTGGCAGGCCGTTAAGGTCTTGACATACGCACAAAATCTTGACATGTATTTGGGATCTTGATATGTAGGACTATGAACCTTGGAGTTCAGAAAGCTTGGAAAAGCTCAGATGAAGCACAAGGTGAATGTTCCCTACAGCTAGCTCTACCCTGCGCCGTTGCCTTCAGTAAGCTGACAAATACATGTAGTCTGACTGCTACTTTCTATTTGCACACTACTGGTGCTGATGCTGATGCCGATCGTGGTCCTAGTCCTAGTTGTAACCGCAGTTTTGGTGTTGGTGTTCATGCCGTACACAGAAGGCAGCACGTCAATGCTTCTGCCGCATAAGGCCTATATATTGAGATCTTGATTGCATTTCAAGATCCAAACTAGATGTCGAAATTCTGATTGCATGCAGAGGCCGATGTTGTCGTAGTTCCAGATTTCTGAAGTGAGCATCTCGATGCAGAGAGCACACCGATCTACAAAATTTTGTAGATGAAATCTATGCAGCACTTTTCTCATTCGCGGCGGATGGTAAAACATCTTCCCATAGTTTGCAGATGTATATATACGATGTTTAGCAATTGTGAATCTCGATCTTGACTAGGGCATGGCTATACGATTCATTCAGCTCATCCTAAGCCTCTTGCAGGATTTGCATCATGTCCCGACACAGCCGACCAGCACCAACATTGACGAAAATTCACGGATCATAATTACCAAGGCGTGGCTGGAACAAGCAGCACTTGGCACTGGCTTGCCTGACGCAATTTCACGACAGGCATTATTGTTCCGCGGACCTGAATCTGTTCCATCGTTCCATAATCAGATAGTACGAACATGCTAGATGTTGCGCTTGGTCGCAATCAAAGAGTGCTGAATGCGTAGATACATGCATGAGAGCAAAAGGGTCTGAATCTGCATCTGTAGGTTACAAAGCCTTCCGCTAAACTCGTCTTTTCGCGACCCGCGGACGCCTAGGGCGATCCAATGTAGCGTAGGGCGATCGCTGCTTGAGGCTGAAAGCGGGTCGATCGATCGCGGTGGAGTGAAAGAGCCCCTGTCGAACAACAACCAACCAGAGTCTCGAGTGAGACGATTTTGGCGAATCTGATTGGCCGCAGGCTCGCTGTCTCGGTGGTTGAGAAACGCCGACATGGCCAAGACTCCATATATAAATATGACGTTGACATATTGAACGCGAGAAATTTAGTACTACTGGGAGACGCGTTTGGTGCCAATAACAAGTCTACGAGTGCAAATGAGCTGAGCTCTTATACTGCGCTCCGGGATCCCCACCTCCGTTCGAGAGTAGTCGCATCGTCGACACGGCAAGTCAAAGCGCATTCTACAGACGACCGGTTGCGTCGATCATTGTTCAGTAGCGCAATTGTGCTGCAGAGTAATGTTGCTCAAACCCTCGTTCCTGCATACGCTGATCTAGACTTTTAGTACTACAAAGTTTCAAGATGGAGTCAAGTCCGCGACCAACGCCACTGGACTCTGACATTCCTGGAGGCTGGATTGAGACGCCTGCAGACCCAAGTCGACAACATTCATATATTGGATCGCAATACAACACAGAAGATGTTCCCACACCTCGTGCTGTAGAACACACTGAGACTTCTTTCATGCCAAATGCCTTCCAAACAAGTAGCGGAAGCCGCTCTGGCGGTAATGGAGCCGGACTCTTCTCAGACTCGAATCACATTACAGCTGTCCCGTCGCCTGACCCGGAGCCAGTTAACGAGACGAGAAATGATCGTACCGTAGAGACTGTCGTACTACCGCTAGAAAGTGGTGATCAGTTCGAGCACAACAATACGTCGATCTCCAGTCCTCACGATGTGCCACGAGAAGAAGTTGTAGAAGAGCCAGTAGAGAAGCTAGAAGCTGTCGAAAGCAGCTCTTCGTCATCCAACGACGATCCAGACCAAGGATATGCGGCCATCAAGCCGGCTGAAGCTGCGGCTGCGAGGCCCCAATTACAATCCAAGCAATCAAGGCCAATGACTGAAGATGATCTCTTTCGTGTATTGTCGAGAAAGAGAACAGGTCAAAGTGGCGGCCTAAGCCGGAAAAATACCGGAGCGACTGGCACGGGCAATGATGAGGACGATGAGATCAACAATCTGATGTCGAAGATGTTTGGACGTACGCGACAAGAATCTTCCGAGGAGGAGAAGACACGACACCAAGGCGTTATCTTCAAGCATCTGACTGTCAAGGGCATGGGTATTGGGGCTGCTCTCCAGCCCTCCGTAGGTGACCTTTTCTTGGGTCCCTTCAGGTTTGGCAAGAATCTCATCTCGAAGGGTCCCAAAAAAGCAGCTAGTAAACCGCCAGTTCGTACACTCCTAGACGACTTCACCGGGTGCGTTCGTCCTGGAGAGATGCTTCTGGTCCTTGGTCGACCAGGAGCCGGATGCTCCACCTTTTTGAAAATGATCGGCAACCAACGGTTCGGATTCGAAGAGATCACCGGCGATGTTACGTATGGTGGTACAGATGCGAAAGAAATGGCCAAGAAGTACCGCAGTGAGGTTCTGTACAATCCTGAGGACGACCTGCACTACGCGACTCTCAAAGTAAAAGAAACGCTCAAATTTGCACTGAAGACTAGGACTCCCGGAAAAGAGTCGAGAAAAGAAGGAGAATCGCGCAAGAGCTATGTGCAAGAGTTCCTGCGTGTTGTGACGAAGCTTTTCTGGATCGAGCACACAATGAACACAAAGGTCGGAAACGAACTTATCCGAGGTGTCTCTGGAGGAGAGAAGAAGCGCGTGTCTATCGCCGAAGCAATGATAACCAAGGCATCGGTACAATGCTGGGACAACTCAACTCGCGGCCTTGATGCCAGTACTGCCCTAGAGTACGTTCAGAGTCTACGCTCTTTGACCAACATGGCCCAGGTGTCAACCTCAGTCGCTCTCTATCAAGCGGGAGAGTCGCTATATGACCTCTTTGACAAGGTCTTGCTGATTCATGAGGGTCGTTGCTGCTACTTCGGTCCCGCTGACAAGGCTGCGAAATACTTCAAGAGCATGGGCTTCGTGCAACCTGATCGCTGGACTACTGCCGATTTCCTTACGTCGGTGACCGATGATCATGAGCGCAACATCAAGGAGGGCTACGAAGACAGGATTCCGAGGACTGGGGCACAATTTGGGCAAGCTTTCGCTGAAAGCGAGCAGGCCGGCAACAACATGGCCGAAGTTGATGAGTTCCAGAAGGAGACACAGAAACAGGCCCAAGAGCGTCGACAAGCACGCACGAAGGCGACGAAAAAGAAGAACTACACACTTTCATTCCCTGCACAAGTCATGGCTTGCACGAGGAGGCAGGCGTTGGTCATGATCGGTGATCCTCAGTCCTTGATAGGTAAGCAATACCCTTGACTATACCTCGAACACTCACTGACTGCAATGTAGGCAAATGGGGTGGCATCTTGTTTCAAGCACTGATTGTCGGTTCACTCTTTTATAATCTTCCGCCAACTGCTGCCGGTGCATTCCCGCGAGGTGGTGTAATCTTCTTCATGCTATTGTTCAACGCTCTGTTGGCTCTCGCAGAACTCACAGCTGCTTTCGAAAGTCGCCCAATTTTGCTGAAGCACAAGAGCTTCTCCTTCTATCGACCAGCTGCGTATGCAATTGCCCAAACAGTCGTCGATATCCCACTGGTTTTGGTACAAGTGTTCATCTTCGACATTGTCGTCTACTTTATGGCCAACCTACAAAGAACCGCATCGCAATTCTTCATTTCGCTGTTGTTCTTGTGGATCATCACCATGACGATGTACGCCTTCTTTCGAGCTATCGGCGCTCTTGTGGGTTCTCTGGATATTGCTACTAGGATCACGGGTGTCGCCATTCAGGCTCTGGTTGTGTATACTGGCTATTTGATTCCGCCATCCAAGATGCATCCATGGTTCTCTTGGCTACGATGGATCAACCCTATCCAATACGGATTCGAAGGTCTACTCGCGAACGAGTTCTCGACTCTGGAGATTCAATGTGTTCCGCCATACATCGTTCCTCAGATCCCGGGTGCACAGGAGCAGTATCAGTCTTGCGCTATTCAAGGCAACACTCCTGGATCTCTGACCGTTTCTGGCTCCGATTACATCCAGGTCGCTTTCCAGTACTCAAGGTCACATTTGTGGCGAAACTTTGGTTTCATTTGCGCCTTCTTCATATTCTTTGTCGCACTGACCGCCTTCGGCATGGAAATCCAGAAGCCTAACAAGGGCGGCGGAGCTGTCACCATCTACAAGAGAGGCCAGGTTCCGAAGACTGTTGAGAAAGAGATGGAGACCAAGACCTTGCCCCAAGATGAAGAGAATGGCAAACCCGAGCCGATTTCTGAGAAGCATTCCGCGAGTGACAATGATGAGTCTGATAAGACAGTGGAAGGTGTCGCAAAGAACGAGACCATCTTCACTTTCCAAAACATCAACTATACGATTCCGTACGAGAAGGGCGAACGAACACTCTTGGACGGTGTCCAGGGATACGTCAAGCCCGGGCAATTGACAGCATTAATGGGCGCATCAGGAGCCGGAAAGACCACGCTTCTAAACACACTTGCACAGAGAATAAATTTCGGTGTCGTACGCGGCGACTTCCTCGTTGACGGCAAGATGCTCCCATCTTCTTTCCAACGATCAACGGGCTTTGCTGAGCAAATGGATGTCCATGAATCGACAGCGACAGTGAGAGAAGCACTCCAATTCTCCGCAAGACTTCGACAGCCCAAGGAGACACCATTACAGGAGAAGTACGACTATGTCGAAAAGATTATTGATCTTCTTGAGATGCGCAATATCGCTGGAGCTGCAATTGGCACGTCTGGAAACGGCTTGAACCAGGAGCAGCGTAAGCGACTTACTATTGGTGTGGAACTAGCCAGTAAGCCTGAGCTTCTCCTGTTCCTAGACGAGCCTACCTCAGGTCTCGATTCCGGCGCCGCCTTCAATATTGTTCGCTTCCTGCGAAAACTCGCCGATGCCGGACAAGCTATCCTCTGTACCATCCACCAGCCGAGTGCTGTCCTCTTCGAACATTTCGACCAACTTCTCCTACTCAAATCTGGTGGCCGAACAGTCTACTTTGGAGAGCTCGGCCACGATTCTCAAACCATGATCGAGTACTTCCAACAAAACGGAGCTAAGAAGTGTCCGCCGAAGGAGAACCCTGCTGAATACATGCTCGAAGCGATCGGCGCTGGCAATCCTGATTACAAGGGTCAGGATTGGGGTGATGTGTGGCAGAAATCTCAACAGAACGAGAAGCTTTCGAGTGAGATCCAGGAGATCAGCAAGAAGCGCCTTGAAGCTGCTAAGAACAAGGAAGCGACTGACGACAGGGAGTATGCTATGCCGTATCCTCAGCAATGGCTTGCTGTTGTTAAGCGGAGCTTTGTTGCGATTTGGCGGGATCCTGAATACGTCCAGGGTGTTATGATGTTGCACATCTTCAGTAAGTTTTGATGAGGAGGTTGGATGAGAGACGATTGCTAACTTCTTACCTCCACTTTAGCTGGTCTATTCAATGGATTCACCTTCTGGAACCTTGGGCAGAGCAGTGTAGATATGCAGAGCCGCTTGTTCTCAATCTTCATGACGCTGACGATCTCGCCACCCTTGATTCAGCAGCTGCAACCGAGGTTTCTTAATGTCCGAGCCATATACCAGTCTCGCGAAGGCAGTGCGAAGATATACTCCTGGACTGCCATGGTATGGGGTACGATCTTGAGCGAGATTCCATATCGACTCATCTCCGGTACCGTCTACTGGTGCTGTTGGTACTTCCCTCCGGCGTTTCCTCGCGACACATACACTGCTGCCAGTGTCTGGCTCTTCATGATGCAATTCGAGATATTCTATCTCGGATTTGGACAAGCCATCGCCGCTTTCAGTCCCAACGAACTGCTGGCTTCTCTCCTCGTACCGTTGTTCTTCACCTTCATCGTCTCGTTCTGCGGTGTAGTTGTCCCGTACGTCGGGCTGGTATCGTTCTGGAAAGCTTGGATGTACTGGCTGACGCCCTTCAAATACCTACTCGAGGGTTTCCTTGCGCTCTTGGTCCAAGGCCAGGAAATTCGATGCGAAACTCAAGAGTTGGCAATCTTCCCTTCACCGCCAGGACAGTCCTGTGATCAGTATGCTGGCCAATTCGCACAGCAAGCAGGGGGTTATGTGCAGACGCAACCGGATGGCAACTGTGGTTTCTGCCAGTTTGCGACCGGTGAAGCGTTTGCTGCGTCTTTTAATGTCTTCCCACGATACATTTGGCGCGACTTCGGTAAGTACTCATGTTCATCTCACGCCATCGCATGCTAACGTTCATTCCAGGCATTATGTGGATCTACATTTTCTTCAACTTTGCAGTTGTGTTTGTATGCACGTGGTTGTATCTCGGCGGTGCCCGTAAGATCAAGGGCTTGTTCAGTCCAGCAAGCAGGAAGCAAAAGAAGGACCAGAAGAAGAAGCAAAGCGGCGATGAAGCCTGAAGTCATTCACCCCTGTAGGAACCTGCATGCTGCATGTGATAGCAGCATGAAAATAGCCAGGCTTCTGGAAGGCGAAGAGCAGTGGCCTGAGGCTCCGCGCAGTTCGGGAAAACTCGTAGCAGCGCCGCGGCCGGCTGCATGATCTGGAGGTTCGGCATGTGGGTCCAGTATTTGCATGGCATTCCCCCGCGAAAACCGCCTTTACGGGAAGGCGAGGTCTGGAGTGCAGGCACGGGCAACAGCCTTTCACGTGCTTCGTTTTCACACCGCACACCTCGTCTGGCGGTGTATTCCAAAGTATATATAGTGTCTAATCATACTTTTCATGGTTCGGACTAGCTGAACACAGCTGAGGTCTTCCTTTCTTCCACGAACTCGAGACTTCGGACAAGACTGCAAGGGCCAAATACTTGTACTGTGGCTTGTGGCTGCAGATCGTGACAGTGACAGTTGCGGGTCTTCATGCAACACGCGGCGCGAATAATCCTAGGCGTGATATCCTCAGTCGTGCCACGACCGAACCTTTCGGCTTAAGCTCGCAGATGGTTGGAGAAGTACCGAGCTACTGCTCCGCCCGGCCAGACGTTATCAAAACCGACTGAAATGCCTCAGCTTTTCCGATGCGTGCAATGAGCTGACACAGCCATCCGTCCGATGCTGATGCGTGATTTGCTGTGTGGTTACGAGTTTGGAGGTTCTTCTCTCATCGTGCAGGGGACGGCATGGATGCTCCGTCCAATCACGCGCTAGGGGTGTTTTCGGAACTCTTTCTGTGCACCGCCTCGTTGCGAACCAGCAACGACCATCGTGAACGTCGAGGGCTTATCCGGGTCTGGAGTTGAACCTGGACCTTGGCGGTCAGACGGTGAAGCCGTGAATTGCCTGGAGCACGACTACAGTTTCAGAAACGCTGCGGCGGCATCACGAGCGTCGTCGCAGCACGCGAGCATGAGCTGTGGATGGTGCAGCCAATGGACAATGACGAAATGGGAATACCCGCTTCCGGCGAAGCTGTGACGCAAGGCTTGATTACCCCACAGAAACTCATCAGCCGTCTGGGGCCCAGCCAAAATTCGTGCCTTCGAACCCGCAGCCAATACTCGTGCTCAGATAGTAATGCCTCTGCTCGGCACTGTCACGCGGGCTTTGTCGGCCAGAGCTGTGATGATGAACAAGAGCGACACAGCAGTGAAGACATGCTGTTGATGCTTCAGCAGCTCCCATGAGCGTCACCGCGATCGTACGGTTCTCCAGCAGCCATAAAGCTGGAATAGGTGTCTGCCGGTCGTACCTTCCGTGCGCGCCCATTTCCCCTGCCCTTTCCGCGTTATTTTCGTCACCTGTGCCGAACTACACTCCAGCAACCACCGTACGGCGCTTTACCCAATCACACTACTCGGCGCTAGAAACAGCTCGGTCCACATCCGCTCTGAAGCTCAGAAACGTCGTCACGATGTCAGCTATTAAAGAGACCTCGGATCCCGTTTTTTGGTCGGCAAGCTCATCTCCCTTGGCCCAAGACTTTGCCCGTCATCAGGTGTCCAAACTACAACGAAACAATTTCTGTTCTTCCTCCGTATCACCACTACACGCAACAATGGCTCCTCCAGCATTAAACAAGACCAACCTCCACCCCAGTGGCTTAAAGTATGGTTCTTCGTCACCGAGAAGCTTGACCGCGTCACTAATGCTTCCATAGACCCCACACCAAAAGCCACACTGAAATCGAAGAGGAGCTCCACGACAAGGCGCACATTGACTATGATCGCGTGGCTATTGTACGTTCTCGGCAGCCACAATCATATGCTCCCGTCTAAAGTGTTCAGGTCGCCAACCCTTCAGTCGCAGCCCTCTACGAAGATGCGCTTGTATACGAGACTGGTTCTGCTATCACAGCATCAGGCGCACTTTCAGCATACTCAGGAGCCAAGACCGGCCGCTCACCCTCAGACAAGCGCATCGTCGAGGAAGATTCATCGAAAAACGATGTCTGGTGGGGACCCGTGAACAAGCCCATGACCCAAGACGTAAGTCTCTCAAACCTTCCGTTCACCCTTTTGCCCTGCAGCAATTCGCAAGAAATTTGCTTGTGAATTTGGCGCCAAACGTCATGTTACGCTAGGCGCATACCCGATGGAGAACGATCGTTGCCCGCACCCTTGCACGTGGCGATGCTGGGGCTCGGCTGCCCCGCATTCAGCATGCACGACGGCTGCCCCTCGCATTCCCATCTCACATGTGTCATGCGCGATTTACTGACTGCGACACCAGGTCTGGCGCATCAACCGCGAGCGTGCCATTGACTACCTCAACACCAGGAACCGCATCTATGTCGTCGATGGGTTTGCCGGCTGGGATGAGCGTTACCGGATACGCGTCCGTGTCGTGTGTGCTCGCGCCTACCATGCGCTCTTCATGCGTAATATGTTGATTCGCCCGTCGAGAGAGGATCTGGAGCACTTCCATCCTGACTACGTCATTTACAATGCTGGTGCTTTCCCCGCCAATAGGTACACTAGCGGTATGACTTCGTCGACGTCCGTTGCTATCAACTTTGCCGATAAGGAGATGGTCATCCTCGGCACGGAATATGCCGGTAAGTTCACCTTCTTCTCTCACCTAATCCAGCATCCTGAAGTTGTACATGGTGTCCTGGCGTCTCAGTTGAAGCCTGGTGGCGCTTTGAATAGCTTCAGGTTGTCCGATCGGACTATCCCTTGTTGCACCCTGTGACGGCATACATCGGAGATGGCATGACATGATCCACTGAGCATGAAGCTAACTATAACAAGGTGAAATGAAGAAAGGAATCTTCACAGTGCTCTTCTACGAGATGCCTGTCAAACACAATGTCCTTACTCTGCACTCATCTGCAAACGAGGGTCAGAACGGCGACGTCACGGTCTTCTTCGGCCTGTCAGGAACGGGCAAGACTACCCTGTCTGCCGACCCTAAGCGTGCTCTGATCGGTGACGACGAGCACTGCTGGAGTGACACTGGTATCTTCAACATTGAGGGCGGTTGCTACGCCAAGTGCATTGGCCTGTCCGCTGAGAAGGAGCCTGATATCTTCAGCGCTATCCGATTCGGTTCTATCCTCGAGAACGTTGTCTTCGACCCCACCACACGTCTTGTCGATTACGATGATGACACCCTGACCGAGAACACTCGTTGTGCCTACCCTATCGAGTACATTGAGAACACCAAGATCCCATGTATCTCCAACAACCACCCCAAGAACATCGTCCTCCTGACCTGCGATGCCCGCGGTGTCCTTCCCCCAATCTCCAAGCTCAACCCCGAGCAGACCATGTACCACTTCATCTCCGGATACACCTCCAAGATGGCCGGTACCGAGCAGGGTGTTACCGAGCCCCAGGCCACTTTCTCCTCTTGCTTCGCCCAGCCTTTCCTTGCCCTTCACCCCATGCGCTACGCCAAGATGCTTGCGGAGAAGATCAAGGAGCACAACGCCGATGCATGGCTCCTCAACACCGGCTGGGTCGGTGCCGGTGCTACCACTGGTGGTAAGTTTCATTCTGAATTTAACATATCAATCATTTGCTAACATATCCTCATGCAAGCGCTGCCCTCTCAAGTACACTCGCGCCATCCTAGACGACATCCACTCCTGCGAGCTCGCAAAGTTCGAATTCGAGACCTACGAGACCTTCGGTCTGTCGGTGCCCAAGACTTGCCCCAACGTCCCCGACGAGCTGCTCAACCCTGCCAAGTCATGGAACGGCACTGCTGACTTCAAGGGTGAGGTCGAGAAGCTTGGCCGCCTATTCATGGAGAACTTCAAGAAGTACGAAGATGAGGCCACCGATGACGTCCTGAAGAGCGGCCCCCACGTATGCTGCTGCCCCAAGCATTAAAGCACAGAGAAACCTTTTCTTTCTTACACCTTACAGACTGAGTAACGCGGTCGATCGAGTCGACGTCAGCGATATTTCATAATACCTTCTTATCTCCTTTTTTGTGGTTGCGGGTATGAATACGCCCGCTGATGGAATGGTTTTTCATTTTCATGTCTTTAGTCTTGCGGCATCATACCTCTTGTGTTACTTGGAGTTGGTTACGACATTGCATCAGTGGAGCAGTTGACGATGAGATACACCCGGAGAGAAGAGAAAAGTAGAGAGAGAGAGCATGTGAATGGAAAAGATCTTGATTCAACATGTTTACGTCCCAGACAAGAAGTTGTGTTTTGATCATTTTCACGTTGGGTGTTTGCGATCATGCTTGAAAGGCTAACAGAAGTCAGGGCTAGAATCATTGCGTTCTCGGATAGAAGTCTTTGTGTGGAGTAGCGCCCGTCGTGGCGTTGGCTATAGGGGCGCACCCCTGTAGCTTTGCCTGCACATCGAGAAGTCCACGATCAACTCCAAATCAGCTGCATTAGTATTTTTGCATCATGAATTATCAGCGTTATAGATGTTATCGCCCGAGTCAATAAAGCATCTTCAATGAGAATGAGGTTGGAAATCGACATGAAGTTGCACCTTATTGATTGCTTCCATCGACCAATATCGACTTTCGCGATCAGATACAGGGGTGCCAACTTCCAAGTCGTCCACAATCTGGGCTCCAACCGAAATGAGCATCGGTAATAGCAACAATGCTCAAGGCATTCTGCCCATGGAGAATCATTTTTAACGATGGCGATCCCGCCTCCTTCCATCTGCAGGTCTTTGCCAACCTCGTCATTCGCTGCCTGTCACTCGTTATTTGGGAGGGGTGGAACTCACGATGCATCTCAACTTCCTCTTCGTCGCTGCTGCTTTAGTGCAGTCAAGTTTACAAGCTCCGCCGCCACCAAATCAAAAACCGGATGCTTGTGCTAAAGCAGTAAGTTGTGACATGTGACGAAGCAAGGAATTAGCTAAGTCTTGTTAGATTTCGTCTGGACCACCAAAACCCCCACGAGGGACTGCTCGAACTGATGTAGCCAAGGCGGATTGCTCGTCGTTCTTGAGCCAGATTGTTGTTCCTTGCGCTGTGTATGGGTATTCTGTTTTCTTTCCTTGGCTTTGCTGACAATCTTAGGACTTTGACGACTGTCCTAACCTCAACGAAGACTGCAAAAGGCTCTACGAGGACAAGCACACAGTCGACCACTGTAACGGCTACGGCGGTTGTTACTAAAGTCGCAACTGTGGATCGATCAGTCGTTTCGACCAACCAGCAAACGCAATTAACCACTCTTATTGTGCCGCAGAATAGCACGGCTTTTGCAACGGAAATTGCAACGACTACGTCTACGGTGTTTGAGACGGTGCTGCTCACCAACACTTACTCGACTGCAGTTGTCACCTCTACTGTTGGTACTCCATCACTCCAGAGGCGTGACACTTCTATCTCCGTACTTCCAGACCGCCCGCATCATACGACACTTCCGTCCAATGCCACGCTCAACGCACGACAGAACAATGGCAAGTGCAACCCATCGATCTTCACCCCCGACAATGTTCCAGATTACGCTTCACCATGCCGAGATTTGAAGTCGTACTCCATAGCCTGCCAGAAACTCGGTGTTACCGGCAAGACGATGACACTTCCAGCATCTATCAGCTACACCACCAGAACGACTACAACAACGACCACGCCAACAATCGTCGTCAACATCACGAAGACGTTTCAAGCCACAACGACGAAAGCTGTAACAAGCCCAGTGACACGACTCCATACGGCTGTCGAAAACACAACCACTACTCAAACGATAACAACAACATCCACCTCAACCCTCACATCCACCGTAACCTCCTATATCACGTCCAACACCACCCGCACATCTACCCTCACCACCTCCATCATCGCCACTTCAACCGCCCTCATCACCCCCACTCCCACCCCGTCACCATCATCATGTACTTCAGACTTCCGCCTCTCCGTAACCGGCACCCCCGCCACCATAGGCACGTACATCCGCACCTTCGGCGCCTCGGAAAAACTCGGCTTCACCCCCAACGCCACGCTCTCCAGCACTTTCTCCCTCGACTCCGCCTCCCGCCTCTTCGAGCCCAGCACGTCCCTCTACGCAAACACGGATTCCGACGGGCTGTACTACGTGTACGCGGAGGCAGCGGGGACGGTGGAGAGTGCTGGGTATTTGTATATTACGTGTGAGGTGAGTGGAGAGGGGGATTTGGAGTGTAAGGCGACGAATGGAGGGGATGGGTTTTATTGGTGTCCGGTCATTGGGCCGCCTGATGCGTTGGTTTTTGGGAGTGAGGAGGGGAGGGTGCAAGCTGCGGGGTGGGATTGTGTGGGGTTGG